AATGGAGGCAGCGCAAGTCTGCCTTAAAGAAGATCCAGTGAATTTGCAGCACAGCAGATGGCTCTTTCGATTCCTGTTAACGGTGGCTGCCCGCCATGGCCAGAGGCAGTCTTCCAGCACATGCCAGACGCTGGCGGCAAGTGACTGCGCGAGGGCTATTTTATTAGCGTCCTCCCTGGTGGAGGGATGTGGCAGCCCACAGTTGGAAGTGGGAGGCTGATTTGGCACGGCTGCTCTTATGTTTTTCTCATGGCCACTGTCCTTCTGGCCTTTGGATGGTTTTCTGGCACGCAGAAATACCACCGGACTGGGCTCTGTGCATCTCTACCTACCAGAAAGCCTTCCCAGTTTGGTTGTGATCAGGCAGAAGAAAGATTGGTGTCCTGGCTCTGCTACTCTGGAGGGGAACCAGCCAGGAGGCGCCCTTAAGGCAGGCTGCAAATGCTCATTTATGGTGGAAAGACCCACATACCCACCAGAAGATCTGCCAAGCCGGTTGCCTTGCCCTTTCCTCCCTCCCTCCTCCTGCTTCCTGTGCTGCTTCTCTGGCAGCACAATGATCCCACCTTGTGGCCAGATGGGTGCATTGCTGCTCAGCTGTAAGCCCAAAAGAAACAAGTAATCAGTGGGTTTCAGGAGGACTAGCATCCTGCAGCCAGAGATTTAGTAGTTTCCAAAATGTGAGCACCAACCTGCACAGCACTCCTTTACTCTGGCCTTCTCCTTTGCACCCTCCTCCTCTCTTTGTTTTCCAGGCCTGCTTTCTTTGCCCTGCTGCCGCTTTCCCCTTTCCTCTGCTGCTTTGATCTCCCCCTTCCCTTGGCCTTCCCCATCTCCAGGACTGCCACATGGCATCATCTAAGAGGGCTGATTGAACAACTGGAGAAATAATCCAGTCTTCCACAGCCAGTTTTGGATTGTAACGCCCAGAATCCCTGAGCATTCACTATGCTATGTGGTGAGGGGGGAAGATAGTTAATGTAGTCCAGAGCCTCCAAAGGGCAGCAGCCTGGGGAATCTTTGTACAGACTAACACAGGGATGTTGAAGAGCTTTCAGCCTGAGGGCCAGATGTCGTTTCAGAGGAGCTTTTGGGGGGGGGGGTGGCTTGTGCTTGATCACTGATCTGCTAGCCAAAGGCAAGCCGAGATTTTGTGTAGGCGAGCAGATGGACTTCTGTACAGTTCAGTGAACCAACTGGCAGGGGAAAGACTGGCCAATCGGTCCTATTTGCCTGCGTCTCCATGCTGGCTGTGAAAGAGGGAGGTCTTCTCAGTTTTCCTGGGGCTGGCATGGAATGGAAAATCAGACTACTCCCCTCTCAGCAGGATAGTAAAGTTTGCATGCTAGTGACTGCTGCCTGTTGGTTTAGAGGGCTGTTCTTTTAATGTGCCCAGAAGAGGCCAGGGACAAAGGTGCATGTCCTTCTAATGCGAATGCCTTCCACTACCCTGGGGCCACTGCAGAAAGACCTTGCTTTTAATGGCTGGTTATTTTACCTTTTGAGGAGATGGGACTTGGAGTCACATCTCCCTGGCTGATTGTAAAACTTTGAGAACTTTCCCTATTTTGCTTTGGACTGCAGCTCTCATCAGCTTCAGCCAGTGTGGCTGGTGGGCAAGGAACTTGCCCTCCCATCAAGCTTCATGCTCAGGGGGAAGTCTCTGAGGGCAGTCCCTGTATTAAGTGTACTGCAGTAGCTTACACCTGCAGGAATTTTAAGTGACTGGAGGTCAAAAATTGGTCTGCCCAGCCACACGGCTGGAAAATAAACAGCTTGAAATAACATTCAGTACTGGAACTGGCTGTGCCATGTGGTTACCATTGAGCTTTGACCTGTTGGGCAGTAGGAGGTAGAGAGTTAGGAGATGAAATTCGCCGTGTGTTCCCCTGCGAACTCAGATTAGCTGGTCCCCAAATAGTCACAGTAACACTGCTCTAGCTAAATCGATAGAGGGGCCGCTGTTTTGCAAAGGAGCAGTGTAAAACAAACCCAGCCAGGGTGATGCAAAATTCTAAGCAATTGGTGAAAGGATGTTGGCAGCACACAGATGTTGGAAAAAGATTGGCAGTAAAAGTTGTTGTTGAGATGGGAGCAAGGGGAGGCTGGGAATTGCTGGAGCAGCCTGTTGGGAACATTGGAATGGAGTCTCTGTACTGACTGTGGATAATAGGAGGCATAGTCTAGCCCAACTAGAGAGCTTAGATTAGGAGAGGCTGCCTTGAACCCTTGCCAAGAGTCCTATGGCAGGAAGAGAAGCCCACTAACCTTTATCCTCAAACCTGGGGGAGTCCATCTGCTGAGGAAGAGGGTGTCCCCACCTTCCACCCCATGAATGAGGTTTGGGAGGTGCTCCTGGAGCAGGCAGCTTCCTGCTTGCTGGGCCCCACGAGGCCAGTGGCACATCCGGCTGTGTGTTTTTGGGGGAAAGGGACAATGGTTAATCTCCTTGTTGCCTTTCCCACCATTTTCCCTGCTGCCTGCCATTTTTTTTCCTGGCTTTCAGGGAGGTGTGCCTGTCCGCCTTATGCCTCCCTCTTCCTCAGAGGAAGGAGCAAGTTGGTTAAACTCTGCCCTGTTCTCTCTCCATCATCAGGACTTTTTTCCTGGCTTGATGTCGATCACTCAGGAAGCCGTTTCCAGCCACTTTGCTCCCGGCCAAGGTCGCGAGGGCTGGGTGGAGAGAAGAGCTTCCTGGCTCTGGTGGTGCAGGTGGGGGTGCTGCTGGACGCTGGGTGCCCTCCATGCCCCCTGGTCCTGGAGCTCGGAGGATGCTGTCTGAGTCTCCCCTCCTTCCTAGTTCTTCCTTTGTTCTCTTGCTCTTTTCCTGCGATGCAGCCATAGAAAGAAATCTAGCAGGGGCTGGCTCAGGAGCGTGTGGGGAGCCATTTGTACATGCCTGCCTTCCCTCAGCAAAGTGTTTGGGGTGGGGCTGACCTGATCCGGGGCTGGGCAGCTGTGGTGTGCAGCATCCTCCTTCAGCTGGGGGCATGCGCTCAGTGCTTGGTGCATGTTAAGATGGGGCAGAAATTAGGAAGGAAGGAGGTCTTTTGTGGCACTGGTGGGGGAGCACGCCCTCTGACCAGGCGGGGGAGCCTTTTTGGAGTTGGGTAGCGCAGCTTGGCCACGCACATCCCAAGCAATGCTTGAGCTGTGCCAAAGTTAGGTGGGTGGGGTGCACCATGGCGATTAGTATATGTTTGCATAATGCTAATCTGCAGTGCCCAGCCTTGGGGAGGGCAAAGCATTGTCCCTCCGTCCCAGTCCTCTGGCTCCGCATCTCTTGGCCTCCTGAGGCTTCTTTGCCTAGCTGTAGATTTTTCCAGTGTTAACCATAAGGACCAGAAACTTGATAGTGTCTTTAGGACAAGATTGCCTGAGCAGTGCACTAACTTCTTGAAGTCCACATGCTTCTTACTAGAAGTTCTCAGGGTGGTATCCTAAAGTGAATATCTGGCTATTGGCTCTCCTGTTGCGGTTTAAGTGTGACTATGTTGAGGCCTTTGTCCCCCGCAGGCAATCCTGATGGGAGTATCGCTGTGCCACAGACCCTTTAGATATGCCTTTCCCTCTTTCCTCCGATCTCTCTGTTTCACCAGCTTGCCTGCCTACCTTGCCTGTACCCCAGCTCTTCTCCCACTTGCAGCCCCCCTGGAATCATTCTGGCCTACCTTGCAGGGCTGTTGCAAGGCTTGTAAGCATTCATTGGCGGGTACGTTGGGAAGCATAGAGGGTGCTGGGCAGGAGCCAGGGCTTGACACCCCATCAACCTACATCAATGAAGACCTCCTATCTCCCATCGCCACCCCTCCGATTCTTTTTATTTGTTCCCCCATCCTCGCCGGCAGAAAAGAAACTTCAGCTTTTCCTCCCTCCCTCCCTGCGTGGCCAGTGACCTTGATTCCATACACGTGTGCATGCTCCCTGCTCCAGATCATTTCCCCCAGACCCCACCCCTTTTGGAGCAGAGCTGGCTCGCCTGGATTCCTCCCCCTGTTCTCTCCCACACACGCGCGCTCCTATAGTTCTTCCTTCCCTCACACGGAGGGCAGGAATTGAGCGTGCTCTTGTGAGTCAGCGCTGCCCTTCCGTTGGCAGTGGGGGCTCAGCCTCCTTCTCGCTCCCCCCTTCCCCGGAACAGAGCTGCGGCGGCAATCGCATGAAGGAAGTGGTAGCAATTACCTTTGAAGGCAGCAGCCGCAGCCGGGGAAGGGGCTGGGGTGTGAGGAGGAGGACCGGGGCACTGGATCAGTGGGGGGGGGAGCGCCAGGCTTTGAGAGGACCCCAGTTCTTCTCACCCCCCCCAGGCATCTGGGGGAGTGTAGGCTCCCCCAGGTCTCCGTCTCAGCCGCCAACAGCATTGCTGGCGTCTGCCCACCGATCGACACATGGGCTCCCGCCCCTGAAAAGAAGGAGGCTTGTTAGTTTCCTGGAAACCGGCAGGCCCCACCGCCGCTGCTGCGACCGCCTTCGCCGCTGCCGCCTCTCAGATTCCTGCTGAGCTGGAAGGTGCTCTGCAGCCTCCCTTGTCCTGGATATTTTTTTCTTTCCTTTTAAAAAATACATTTAATCTCAGTCGTGGCAGAGCAAGAGAGAAACTGGGGCAGAGCATCCTCTGTTCTGAAGATTTTCCTTGTGCTCAACGCTCTTTTTCCCCCCTCTCCTGGGGCCTCTGCGGGGCAGTACATGCCACTGGGGGGTCCAGCACCGACGAGGACGGGCCGTGTGGGGCATTCGGCAGGCAGCGGGGGGAAGGCGCCCGTCAACAGGCGATGTGAGAACTCCTGGGGGCCCGTGGGACTTTCCGGCTCAGTCTCTCCTGAAGCAACTCTGCGATCGCTCCAGCCGTGGGTGCCTGCCAGCCCCCGCCTGCTTCTCAGTGTCCTGGGAGGTCTGTCCCAGGGCTACCTTTAATCTGGCAGCAGTGCGACCTCCAGCTGCGGATCGGTCGACTCGGTGCAGCCTGACGACAACGCCAGCAGCCGGTTTTCTGTAACGTTGGAGCGCTTGGCAGGGACACACCTGTGGCCAGGAGGGGAAGGGAGGCGTGGGCTTTGGTGTGCCAGACCCAGCCGCGGCTCTCAGCAGCGATGCCAGCCATGGGCTTGCTTGGACCGGTTGTGACGTTCGCGCTGTCCTGATCTCAAGAGACGCTGTCCGCCTGCTGCCCCTCGCCCCAGCTCGAGCAGTCTGCCTCCCGAGCACCCCCTGACCCGGCGGTCTGCCCCTGGGATGGACCTTCTGCAGAAAAGCAAATACAACCACCTGCGCAATGACTCTCTCTCCTCCCTGGAGGAAGGGTCCCTGGCAGCAGAAGGGGACTCCCCTGTCGAGCCCCTGGTGGCCCCTCCTTCCCTCCCCAGCTCCCTGTCTTCGTCCTCGCTCAGCCCCATGCTGCCCCTGGGCGAGCTGTCGTCGGAGTCGGAGGACAGCCCGACCACCCTGTGCTCCTTCTTTCCCAAGATGGCCAACCTGAAGCTCTCCAACCCGGCCACCCGCCTCAGCCTCCGGGCCTTCTCCAGGGAGTCAGGCGGCTCTGGCGGAGAGCCCCCTCCCCCACCCCCCGCCATCACCGCTGCCCCCCTGCCCTCAGACTCAGTGGGGACTGTTGGTCTCTATTCCCAGGATATGAACAAGTTGGGCTGCGGCAAGAAGATGCGGGTGGAGGGTGGCCAGCTCGGCGGCGACGAGTGGACCCGGCACGGCAGCTTCGTCAACAAGCCCAGCCGCGGCTGGCTGCACCCTGACGACAAGGTGATGGGGCCTGGCGTCTCCTATCTCGTCCGGGTGAGTGCACGTGGGGCTGGGGGGGGCAGGCTGGGTTGCGTGGGCAGTGGCAGGAGGGAAATTGTCGGGAGGGTGGGAATGGAAGCCCCAGCTGGTCTGATGGCAACCCCAGCGTAGGCGCCGGTCAGCGACTAGCTGGCTTTTGCACTGGCTGGCCAGTCAGTGCCGTAGGCAAAGATTTTCTTCCCTTGCTCTTTAAAACCAGCAACTGGCTAATCACGGGCCCATCTCTGCATCCCCTCTCCAACCTTTTCTCCGTGGTGACCAGGAAAAAAGATTGGGCGGAAGTCTCCAGTCCCAGCATGCAGTCCTGCGGGTGGCTCGCAGCACATCTCCCAGCATCCCTGGACCACTGGCCATGCCGGCAGGGTCTGAGGGATGCTGGGGGGAGTCCGCAACACCTGGAAGGGGCACCAGGCTTGGAGAGGCTTTCCTGATGTCTGTGATGAGGGAATAGGCATGCTCTGTTTTTCAGAAAAGAGTGCCTCTGAGAATGTGCAAAATTTTGTTTCTGCCCCTCTGGGTATGGGGACAGTGTTTCCATGTCTGCAGTGTGTGCACATGGCCCATATTGCCTCCTGCTCCAGCTGAAGGGAAAGCACACTGACGTTTCTTCATCTGCACGGGGAAGTGGCAGCCCCTTCTCTCCACCCCTTTCTCGGCTGCCCTCTGGCCTCAGGGTGTGTGTGTGTGGGGGGGGGCAGCAGCCAGCGCTGCCCAGCCTCTGTTTTGCCAAACCAGTATCTGTCCCAGGTTTTCCGGTCAGCCACATGATTGCTTCTGACAACCATGCGCCCAAGCGTCCGTCCCTCAGGGCATGGCACACACGCTGCCGAGATGGGGTTGGCGTTCTCCTCCGGCCCCGCCTCCCACCCATGAAGTCCGCGGTGACTGCGATGCTCCGCAGCAGCCCGCTTTAGGGTCTTGCGTGGGGCGGGGGTCCCTGGGTGGCTCAGCTAAGGAGCTCCTAGCTGCCCAGCGCCCGCTTCGGCACCAAGGTTGTCCAGGAGAGACATCGCTCTGCACTGCCCCTGTTGTCGGTGCTGTGGCAACTAACTTAATAGACAATGATTCTTCCCTGTAATGAGGAAAGGGGAAGCGAGGATGGGTCTTGCAAAGGGATGTCCTTGACTGGGGCGTGTGGAGGGACAGGTCTCTGTGGTCAGGGAGCCCTGGAAAAAAAGACCTGCTCTGCGGGGCTTCTCTAAAGGCAGCCTTGGCTGTTGCCAGCCTGGGGCTCTCCCGACATGCCAGACCAGCTTTCCTCTGTTCCCTGGTGGGTGCCCAGGCTCGCCGGAGGTGATAGAAACTGTAGTCCTTGACACTGGGAGGGCACCAGATTGGGTGCAGGATATCAACAAGGATTTCTGATGCCTGACCACTGAAAAGGTGGAGGTTAAAAATGACCTTCCCGGACTGGAAGCAAGCAGGAGTGAAATCTGCTCCTGAGAACACGCCCCTTGGCCTCGCATACGCTCAGAGGAACCCTGTCTTTTAATAACCAGTGTGTGCCTTTTGGCTTGGCTCCAGCAGGCAGCTCTTGGGCTTCTGATGAAGCCAGCAGTGTCAATGATTAGCCCAGTTTAGAGGAGGCCTGCCAGTGTTTGCTAATGGCAGAAGCTACCCTGGGGCTTCCATGATAGAAGGCAATGTGCCGCTGGAGGAGGGGGAGGGTGGCGGGGGTGGCCCTGTCCGGGTGCAGCGATCCTCTCGCCGCTGCTGCTCTGGGGAGGCACCTGCCGTGAAGCAGTCGAAGGGAGGCGGCGGAGCAGCCTGCTCCAGCGTCCTCCACTTGGTGCCCTGCAGTTGCCTTGGGCTGCAGCGGGCGTCAGCATGGCTTAGGAGGGGTGCCTTCATATGGAGCCCAGGCAGTCCAGTGCTGGAGGGAGGCATTTCTCCAACGCCTCGGGCTGGGGTCTTCCCCATCGCCCTTGAGCAAGCACCTCTCTCACTTGGTTTTCCTCGGATGCGTCAGCTTTCATCTCTCCTCAGCCCCAGCCAGTATGGCCAACCCTCCGGCATGCTGGGAGTTTCACCCCTGGAGGGGAACAAGCTGGGGAGGGCTGCTGGACCGGCTTAAGCCCCAAGTCTTCCTGTCCCGACTCCTCAGGCAAGGGTTGCCCTAACTCATTCTGCTGATGCTGAGCTGTGGGGCCTTGAGCCCATCCTGCTTCGGCGCTTTACCACATGGTTCTGAGTCTTCTCCAGGTGTTAGATTGGGCAGAGCTGTGGTTTTGCAGGGCTGCTTTTGATGCCCATGTGGAAGCTTTAGCTGGCAGGGGCTACACAAACACGTCTCTAAAGCTGGGCAGAGCCCCATCCTCTGCTGCTCTTCAGAGCTCCCCCTTTGGCCTTGCCCACATCATCTTTGGCCCCCCTGAAATGCAGCCCTCCTCCGGACCACGTTGTCTAGACCTGCCAGAGCTTGGGCGCTTCTAGTCAAGGTGGTTTTGCTGGCATGAAACAGGATGGCGGGCCTTTCCGAAAGACGCACACCTTTTCCTGCTCCTGCTGTCACATCCTCTTGGAAACAGCTTGCCTGCTGCCCCACAAAGAGAGCCCCTCCTTTCCTTTCCGGCATCCAGCTATGACCTCCGAGGTCAGCCAAGGAGTGTCCTCTTTGGAGGCTGCCCTCTGCGTAAATTTCAGCTTCCCGGGGCTTGGGGTGGCACTCAGGACAGGCTGAATGCCAGCGGCGCTCTTGGAGACTGGCCTCGTTGCAAGGGCTGGCTTCTAAAATCTCCATTGCTGAATTGCTTGGCAGGGGGTGCCTGGCTTCACCTTCAGCTAATACCCCGAGTATGCCATGCCCTGCAAGCATGAGGCTCCCAGTTCGGTGTCTGGTGGTTGCAGAAAGGATCAGGATTAGACTCAGGCAATGGGGGGAAAGGAAGAGGTCTCCCCGGAGAGTCGCCACCCTCTGTCCCAGCTCAGATGCCAACCCCCATGCCTTGGTTTGGGAAGAGGACCCCACCTCTTGCTCAGCCTGGCGCCTGCCAGCAGTGCTGGGCTTCCGCTTCCCCTGCTGCCAGCCCACACTGCCCGTGGGTGCCAGCTTGTGGAAGGTTGATGTGCTCGGGCGGCCCCGGGTAGCAAGAAGGCAGAGGTCTTGAGGGCTAACGAGCTCTTCCTCCATCTCTCCTGCAGTACATGGGTTGCGTGGAAGTCCTTCAGTCGATGCGGGCACTTGACTTCAGCACAAGGACCCAAGTCACAAGGTGAGAGCCGCTTTGCTTCACTCTCCACAAAGGCTGCAATCAGTGGCGCCCGCCTTCCTGGCCAAGTAACCTTCTGGGGTGCGGTGGTGGCTTCCCTGCATGAATGGCTGCTCTGGTCAGGCAGCACCAGTTGGAATTCTGCAGCACCCCTGCCCTGCTGATGATTGGATCAGCTCATAATTCTCTATGGAGAGGGGTGGTAGAATCCCCCACTTCTATCCCCCGATAGAATCGGGAGAGGGTCACTATTGTCTTCCTGCGTGAGTCCCAGCTCCAGGTTTGCCTCCTTTCTAATCTGCATTCAGTTAGGAGCAACTCATTTTTCTGGGCCTTCCTATTAGTTGCTCTTCTGGGTTTCTTCCAGGGGAGTCACCGATTCCCTCGTGCCTCAGCATCAGGTGCATTTTCAGTCATTCACAATTAAGGAATGTCGGTTGCCTGTTGTGCATATCATTAAGTTGCCAATACAATACAGACCTGTCCAGTCCAGAGCCCGAATTCCATTCATGAGAGGTTTTCCGGGGTGAGAGGACTGGAAGCAAAAGGGGTCAGGCCAAAAAGCTTTTGGACAGGGATGTGCAACTGGTGTTTCTTTAGAAGCCTGGGCCCATCAGCCTGTCCATCATGGGAATCAAGGGCAAGGCATCCAAAGAAGCACAAGTCACCCACCTCCTCCTTGGAAGAAACATTTCAGTGCATTAGAAGGGTGGGGCAGGGGTGGGACTGAGCAAAAGCCAGAAGACCCCTGAATAACTGGTGGTTGTGTGGGGAATCCAGATGGGGACCTCCCTTGTGAGGTGGCGAACTCGTGCAATGCCTGAGTCATTCAGGCAGCAAGGCCAACTGCAGCCCCTTTATGGGGATGACGAGGCTGCGGGGACGACGAAGCTGTGGGGACGTAGGTCCTGGGAATTCAGGGAAATGCAGGTACCAGAAAGTCTTTTAAATTTCCAGCCACAGCAGGGAAGAACCGGCTGCAGAGCCAAGCAGAAAAGCAGGCCACCTGTGCTCGCGTTCCCGCTCTGGGCAGAAGCAGTGGCTGAGGAAAGGGTTAACTGGGGGCTGGGAAGCACAAGGGGAAAGGCGTGTGCTTGGATGTGCCCGTCCATTACCAGGCAGCAGACGCAGGGTCTGGAAAGAGGTGGCCGGAGGGAGCAGGCAGCAGGAGATGGAAAACCTTCTGCAGCCAAGCCTGCGCACGCCTGTCACTGGCCCATTTTTTTATTTATTTTTCTAAATTAATCTGCTAAAGACAGGAAGCATTTATACAGCATCATCAAATATTAACAGGCCTCACTCTCTCCTCCTCCCCGTTAGCCTTGCCCTGCCACAAGGAGCTTGGCGAGGGAGGGAGAGCGAAGACGTGCCTGCTTGCTTTTTCCAGCTGCAGCTGTGTGTTGGGCGCAAGCTGTTTATCGTGACTTTTCTCCTTATCTGTCAAAGAAGAGCTGTCCCCACTGTTCAGATGACCTTCATCCCTGCACCTTCCTTATCCCTGCAATTCCTGAATTGTTGGCAAAACCAAGAGGGCTAAAATTGACCCGAGTGCATCCGCCTGTATTGGAGGATCACTGCTGCCCTCTGGATGAGTTGCTGCTCTGGGCCTCTCGCCCTTCCAGTCAGCCTCTTCCTGGAGCTAGGGGTTCCATGGCATGTTGACCCAGGACGATTGTCTGGATTGTCACGGTCACTCCCCAGCCAGTGCCAGCTGCCGATTCTGTGGAGCCCCTGTTGGACGACACCTCCAGTGGGTCTCCTAACGGGTCTCAGCTGCTCACCAGCTGCTCTTCCTCCTCATGGCGCCGCAGGCGGGGAATGCCAGGGAGCGAGGTGGCCGTGGCATCTCCTCGCCACCAGCACTGCGTTTGCCTGAGTGTGCCAGAGGCAAACCGGCGATGAAAAGGAGGAGCAACTCTGGGGGACTTTTGCCAGAGGGCCCTTGCTGGCCTGTGGGCCCCTTGGCATATGCCCACCTCTGCCAAGCCTTGGCCATGGTCCTGCTTCCAGCCAACCGAGCCATGAGTTTGTCTGCCGTGCATCTGCAGGAGTCACTGCTCTGAATCTGTCCCTTAGGCCTTCTCTGTGCAGAGACTTATGCAGGTGCCCAGCATGGCAGGTGCCTCGAAGGAAGGGCCTCCCTTCTTACGCGTAGCATGTTCTTAAAGCCTTCCTCAGCCCTTCCGGTATTCCGATTGACACACTCCTCTAACAGTTCCCTTAGAATCCATCTGGGAGCAGCAGAAAGTGGGCATGGACCACCTTAGAGTTTCTACCTGCAGCGGGCACAGAGCCTGCGTCCCTCTGCCTGGTGTGCGTGCACGTCGGGGGGGTTCTCTGTGCTGCAGCATGGTGTGACCAGAGGGACAGGACTGACTAGGACTCAGGTGGTCTCTGGATCACATGTGCCGGAGGCAAAATAGGCCGGGCACTCCGGGGAGCAGAATGCAGGCCCGGAAGGACCTTTTATTTTGGAGAAGTTGAGCTGGTTGCAGCTGGAGGGCAGTATTCCATTCCAGGGACCCTCCTGAGAGATGCATTCTGGTGGTGACCACAGACCAAAAATACCAGGAATGCCTCAGACATGGATATATTCCAGTTGAAAGTTCTTCCTGCTGCACCACTAATTTGTGGGAGGGTTTCTTGAACCTTTAAGAATGGGGAAGAAGCTGCCCAGAAGCTGGGAGACCTCCAAGCCATCAGCAGTTGCAGGGAAGGAGCGTGGCCACTCAGACTGCAACTCCAGGGAACCCTCCTGAGGTCCTCCTGAGGCTGACCACGGCCTTTTTATTCTGATCCAGCAGCGGCAGCAGGTTCTGTGCAGGGTGAGTTTGTCTCTTCTCCAGCTTTGCTTTATCCTTGTTTTCCGCTCTCCCTTCAGGGAGGCCATTGGCCTCGTCTGCGAAGCTGTGCCTGGGGCCAAGGGTGCCGTCCGCAGGAGAAAGGTGAGGTGCTGGGTGGTCAAGAGGGAGCCCTTCCCTTCCCCTTCCCCTTCCCCTTCCCCTTCCCCTTCCCCTTCCCCTTCCCCTTTCTATTGCTTAATGCTAGAACTCCGAGAAGACTGATCCAGGGCAGAGGGAAGGCCTTCTCCATGCGTTGTGTTCTGAAAGATTAAGTCATGATCATTTTAGGACACCTTCATGGTCAAGGCAGCCTACCCTTGAGTACCAGCGGTCCTTTCCAGAAACCATCTGGCAAGAAACACAGCTAAGGTTTTGGTCTGTATCAGCGAGGCACATTCTTAGGAGCGGATAGCAACTGAAGAAGCTGCCTGATGCAAGCCGGTTTTGTCAGCCCTGGGTGCAAAGGTGGTGGCATGGAAACACACCATGAAAACGTCTCACGTGCGTCAGATGAGGGCTCACACGCCCCAGGTTTTGCAGGGAAGTGTTTTAGAAGAGGGGTCAAGAGAGAGGCAGTGCCAGGCATGAGGTGCAGCAAGGGAGAGGAGGGTGGCATCTTCAAGACACCTGCTGGGGTGCACACAAGATGTGCCAGAAGGATGAAGGGGCTGGAGCAGCTTCCCTGCAGGGAGAGGTCAGGACTTGAATGGGGGGCTCCTTCTGGGGCACCCGGTCGGCTGCTGCAGGAATCAGCACAGAACTAGCGCGGCCCGTTTTGGTCTGCTGCAGCGGGGCCTCTCTTGCTGCTCTGGTCTGTTGAAGAGAGCAGCTGCAGGGCAGGAAATGTGTCATTCTCCGGCAGGGATAAATCCAAGAGGCGAAGACTAGGGAAAGAGTCAGGCGATACCCCAGAGAGCTGTAAAAATCAGGAGAGACTGCTTGTGCTGGATCAGAAACTGGCATTCACGTAGCATGCCTCTTGTGTGCTTGCTCATGCCTGGTGCCCCTCGTTCCAGAGGGGGTGTGGTGTGTGGGCAGGATCTTGAGGTCTCCGGCACACACCTCCTCCCTCCTCTTCCTCCCAAGACTGCCCCTCGCTGGGAAATGGAAGTCGAGTTGCTGCAATAAAGACCTGGTGTGGGCAGGACCAATCAATACAGAACCATAACAGGGCCATCTAATGGACACAGGAAGGTGGAGGCTGCGTGCATCATGTGTGTCTTGTCATGTCATCTCCACTCCCCGTTCTCTGGTACACACACAACCGCCTCCTTCCCTGCATTCCCTCTTTGTCCTCCCGCTTATTTAATTTGGCCTTTAATCAGTTCTTCAACCCACAGGCATGAGGCGAACCTGCGACTCTGGGAATCTTCAGGCAGGGCATCTTGCAAGCGCTCCCTTAAAGGAGGAGAGTGAGAGTGGAGCCGAAGCCCCTGTGGGTGGAGCCGTGGCTCCCTAGAGAGCAGTTGGCGGGGCCCGCCTGGGCTGCAGTTTTGCACCACTCCTGTACCAGTCACTCCAAGGACTGGGAACATTTGACGACGGAACACATGCACATTTCTCCCCCACATTCATTACAAAACTGGAGATTCAAAGTGCATTCCCCCGATTGAGTCAGCTACACCCTCCTTTCTCTGTCTCACAGACAAAGACTCTCACATTCCTAGCAAAAGGCAGAAAAGGAAACCTTGTTTAAAAAAAATCCTTCCCTATTCACAGGAAGCCTGCCCCATCTGGTCAAGGTATTTCCCAGCTGCCTAGAAAAGCAAAACCAAAATACACTTAGCTTCCAGGACAAATGCAGAGCGGAGCGACGAACACTTATGTACCACGTTTGAAACCTTGGATGCAAAATGTTCCTCTCCTCAGGAAGCCCGCTTTCCAGCAGGGAGCACTTTCGCCCCATGAGCGGGTAGTTCTTTTTTGCATGTCTGAAGGGTTGCTGCTTGAAAGATGGGGAAACTTCCAGTAGCAGCAAGTGTGTCTAGTTGTAAAACAATAAGCTGTTTATTCATTGTCTTACCAGGCAAGTTTTCAGAGTCCCATGCTTTGGTATTTATAAGCACATCAGATTTAATCCAGGTCTGAAGGACAGGGGTGGCAGAGGAAGAAATGCTGTAGCCCAGTCGCTTCCCTTGTAGCAGCCTTCCCCAACTGGGTTGCTTCCAGATGAGTTGGACTACAGTTTCCAGCATCCCCAGTCAGGAGTTGAAGGGTGGCTAGAGGACATCTGCCCCACTTTGGCACCACAGTTCATACTTGGGAAATCCTAGTAACTTGAAGGCATTATAGAAAGTGCTGCTAGTCCTCATGGATGCAGAGAAACTTGAGAACACAGGAGCAGTATCTGGTGAAATTCTGTTTTAGGCTGGCATGTGTGTTCTGGGGAGTTCCTCCTGCTTTTGTTATTACATGGTGGTTTTTAAGTTTTGAATTTTGTTTTGTGTAATACATTGTTTGCTGCCTTGGGAGGACTCCTTCTCCCAAAGGCAGCCTGGAAATACTTTAAATATACCTTTACAGGGTACATCTGAACATTATATATACATCTAGCACACACTGTGTTACCAATTGAAGGCTGTAGATGTGCTTTGGGAAGCCCCCTGCTGGCAAGAAGAGAGGTTTTTTCCCCTTCTCACTGTATTACATATGCAAGAGCTTTTGAAGGTCTAAAACACCCCTTAGAACGTAAGTTTGTGCAATATATGAAGTCAGTTGCAGCACTTCTGTTGGGATTGGAGTGTAATATCTCAAGCCTGGAGAAAGTAGGAGGAATCATTCAATGACAGTCTGTGCGTTTGGCATGCCCAGTCTTACTTTTTTAATCTTGCTGCCTTTGCAAGGGGCTTCCCACATGGCTTATTTAGAATTAGTTTTTAAAAAGACAGCCCATTTAAAAGCCACCGCACACAATGGAAAAAGGGATGGAGAAGGAAGAAATAGAGACGGTGCTGTCTTTCAGCAGGGCTGATAGAGTGGTCCTTCGCTAAGCCCTCCCTCCTCAAGTTGAAAATATCTCAGGCTGTAGGGCGGGGAAAGAGCAATCACGGCCTTGGCTCGGGCAGTGCTAGTCTGACAGCTTCCAGAGGAAGGAGGGAAGAGCACAGCTCCTCAGCCCCTGGCCCCAAGGCGGGCCCACAGAAGCAGGACTCCCGTTCTTTTAGATGCTGAAGCAATTGCCCGCTCAGGGTGGATGTGGCCTTCCCATCCTCCCTCCCCCGCTGCTCATATCTGGAGTGTGCATTCATCTTTCCTTTCTCCCTTTCTGCAGCCCTGCGGCCGTGCTCTCAACTCCATCTTGGGCAAGAGCAACCTGAAGTTTGCTGGCATGCCCATCACACTCACCATCTCCACCAGCAGCCTCAATCTCATGGCGTCTGACTGTAAACAGGTGAGCAGATCTCACGTTGGAATGCAGCTTCTGCCCTCCCTCACTGGTGGTCACATTTGCTGGGGCTGATGGGAGTCAGGGTCCAGCAACACCTGGAGGGCTGCTGGCTCCTCACCCCTGCTCTACAGCAAAGGCCGATTCCTTTTCAGAGGGACGTGGGTGGGCACAGCATTCCAGTGATCGGTCTGATGCGCTTCCTGCCATGAACGAAGCCTTGGGAGAGGCATTTCACCAAAGAGAAGTGTTGCACAGCAGTTAGAGCACTGGACCAGGACACAGGAAATGAGGGTTCTGGCCCTTGAATATGAAGTTCACGGAGTGATTCTTGGCCTATCCTACCTCACAGGGTAGTTGTGAGGATAAAATGGAGAAGTGGAGGACTGTTCAAGCTGCCTTGAATTTCTTGCAGGCAAAGAGCAATAGAAATACAATGAATGAATAGATCTATTAAAAACCTTCAGCCTTACAGAGTGAGCGTAAACATAGAAAAGTTGGGAAGCGGCACAAGAGTCTGCTGTTGGGGGGCTCAGTCTTAGCTGAAGCGCGCACTTTGCAGCTCACAAGAAGCTTGCTTCCTGCTGACCTGATGAGATATCACACTTGTGCTGGGAAATCTTAAGTATGGTGCACCCTGATGTCTACTGTAAGAATTGTTGTGGAGTTGGGAAACTTCTTGGGTTTCTGCTGTCCCTTTACACTGCATTTTTTCTCTCCTCCCTTCTGCTTGTTAGATCATCGCCAACCATCATATGCAGTCCATTTCGTTTGCATCAGGAGGGGATCCGGTGAGTGCAAAGGGGTCTATATTTGTTTTGTGGGGTGGACTCAGTTACAGTCCCCTCTGAGCAGGGCTGTGTGATTCTTCAGCAGCACAGAATTCCACATCAGTTAAAATAATAAAACAGTTCTCGCCCTTATGACTTTGAAGGCAGGCTTGGGACCACGTGGGCTTTCCCTGCTGGAATCTCAAAACTGGATGTGTGTCTGAATACATAAAATTCAAGTACTTATAAGAGTGTAAGGAGAGCCCAAACACTGGACTTGTCTAGTCCCTGGTGGCTGAGACTTTACAGCTACGCCCAGCCTCTCCCCTTGATTAGCAAAGCCCTGTGTAAATGATGCAGGTTTGTTAAATTTGTACAATATACAAAGACCGCAGGATGTTAAGGTTCCTGTTTATACTCCCTCTGCCTGGCCTCTGTTGCTGGCGACCTTAGCCAACCGCCTAGGCTACCCTGCAGGATTGTTGTGGGAATCCACATAGGAGGGACACTGGAGATTCTGCTTGGAGATTCAGGGAGGAAAAGAAAACAGATGTACCTCAATAAAAGCATGCTGACGGGGCCATTGCGGAGGGGAGCTCCCCCCTGCCTTAAGCTGGCGTTCATTACCATTCTTGGTCTTTGCAGGACACAGCTGAGTATGTCGCATATGTTGCCAAAGACCCCGTCAATCACAGAGGTAAACCGCTTCACGTAGCTCTTACGGTGCCGCGGCTCAGGACGGCGCCACCTGCGGCTGCGAATCCCTGCCCTCTCCCGCTTGCCTGCCATTTTTCATTCTCTCACTGTCCCACTCTCCCTCTTGCTTGCCTCCGCTCTCTCTGCTTCCACGCCGGCCTGCCTGTCTCTCTCTCTCTCTCTCCCCCTCGGGTGGCTTCAAAGGCATCCCTGTCCTCTCTGTGTCTCCTTGCAGCCTGCCACATCTTGGAATGCCCAGAGGGGCTGGCGCAAGACGTGATCAGCACCATTGGGCAGGCCTTCGAATTGCGCTTCAAGCAGTACCTCAAGAACCCCCCCAAGCTCGTCACCCCACACGACAGGTAAGGGCAAGCTGCAGCCGCAGCAAACCAATCCCTCCCGCACCTGATGCCCCCTGGGTGGAAGGGCTCCCTTGCCTTGGTGTCCTCCTTGCCTTTCCTGGGGCAGCTGGTCAGCCACTGCCTGGACAGAGTGACTAGACCTGCCCCATCTGATCCAGCAAGGCTCCCCGGAGGCTCTTCTCCGGCCTCGCTCTGTGCCCAGCTGCATCATCGCTGCTCATTCTTAGCTTTGTGCATCAAACCTCTGGAAAAAGTCGGGTCAAGCCTCTGAAACATTGCTCGATCAGGCTGGACCCTGTAGGACTCCTGTCCCCATCATCCCTGACTACTGGTCATGCTGACTCAGGGTGATGGAGCTGGGTCCAAGACGCCTGGAGGGTGCCAAGTTTGGCTGAGGAGCATTCTGGCTCCCATCTCTGAACACACGCATGGGCTCTCCTGCTGGGGAGAACCAGGCGTCACACCAGCCTGGTCTTTCGGGCAGGGGTAACCCAGCAGGGCTGTGCCCAGCCGCCCATCCCTTCTCCTCCGCTGCTTCCTCCACAGGATGGCAGGCTTTGATGGCTCAGCCTGGGACGAAGAGGAGGATCCACCGGCCGATCAGCAGTACTACAACGACTTCCCTGGGAAGGAGCCGCCCTTGGGTGGCATGGTGGACCTGCGTGTACGGGATGGAGCCCCCACGGCCCAGGCATCCAACCACCTGGGAGCCACTCTGGTACGCGGGAAGCCTTGCGGGGGGGGGGGGGGGTGGGCCGCGCCGGGCTGCATCCCAGCAGGGCTCGTCCCAGTTCCAACCCTGTCGGGGTCTTGGTTTGTTAGCTTGATTAAACGCTGCCCAGTCGCATCACACTTGGTGGGCAGTCGTCGCGACGAAGCACTTTTCTGAGCGTGTGCTGGAAAGGTCCTGTATCCAAGCTCCAGGCAAGTTCCTCTCTCTGTCACGCGATGCAGCGAGTCACTTCTGCCGCACAACAGCCTCGCTCTGCCTTTCCCAGTGTTAGCAGCAACTCTTCAGGGATTCAGAGAGGAGCCGTTCGTCCCCCTGCTGAGGATGCTGGGGCCTGACCCCTGAGGGCTGGGTTAATGAGTCTGTAGGGAAGACACTTCCAGACAATCAGCAGGGATTGTCTCCCTGTCACGGTCCTGATGGTGCCGGGATCCAGTTTGCATCAGCCCCAGCAAGCACAGCTGGCATCTGGCTGCTCTGGAAGGCCCCCTCTTTTGAACACCCCTCCCCCCCCCCCCCCGGCTTCCAGGCTCTCTTGACACAGAGAAGCCGCTTGTGTTCTGTCAAAATCTGGGCCTGCTTTGCAGTACTGGTCTCTTGTGCCCCGACAGTGAATTCTCTCCTCGCCAGACTACATAGTACTTCACGCTTTGCCCCGTCTGCTTGTCCCCCAAGGTTGCTTGTAGCTGCAGGGCTGTCAAAGGAGGGAAGCTGACCCTCTGGCCCTGTGGTTGACCGTCCCTGGTCTTTCTTTCCCTAGCCTGTTGGCCAGATGTCTTGCGGAGACTCCAGGAAGCCACCCCCCGCCGCACAAGGTAACCACCCTAAGCTGCTGCTTTTCCTTGGCATTGGGGAGCCCTGCTGCATGGCGGGGGCCGGCCAATATTTGTCTTTGCCCATAGAACGGTTGGCGCAGATGTCCTCCTCAGCAGATGGTCGCACACCTAGGATGCCGTCCGCGCGCTTTTGTGTGCGCGCAGCTTTCCTAACGCCGCTCTCTACTTTTACAGGAAGGGATAGATGTCCTCCTGGGCGCACGGATCTTTTTGATGATCCCTCCTACGTGAACGTGCAGAATTTGGAGAAGACGCGGCAGGGCGGCCCGGGAGTCACTGCCAACGGCAGCGCCCAGAGGGACCTCTTTGACATGAGTGAGTGGCAGAAAGAGAGTCCCGCGGTCCCTGTAGCAGCAGCGCTGCTTTCGAGATGGGGCACAGGCTGTCTGCTGCACCCCCCCCCCCCCCCCCCCGATGCTTTGGACTTGGACTCCCCGTGGGACCAGGCAGCAGGGTTGTTGATCGGGGTTATGGGAATGGCAGTGGGAAACATCTGGAAGGAACTGGCTTGCTTACAGTTGCATGGGGCAACTTGGAATTCCCTGCCTGTGAGGGATTTGACTGGTGAAGGAGCAAGAGTTCTCCACCCCATCTCTGTACTGTCCTAGACTGCAGTTCCCATAATTTCCACCCGTGCCATCTGCAGTGGATGGGCTATTTAACCCAGCTATTTAAAGCATTTTTATCATGCTTCCGAACAAGCAAAGTCTCTTGGAGTGGCTTTCATACAGCCCAATACAAGACAGTCCCTTTCCACAGGCAGTCTGAAAAGACAACATTGGAGGGAAAAGAGAGAACATTAAGCAGTGGCTGGCGCTTGCCCTTTCCTCTCCCGGGGGAGGGATTGGGGCAGGCCCCATGACTGGCTCTGCTTGCTCCTATCTCCCTCTCCTGTGGGGGCAGCCGGATGGGGATGTCTGCTCTCAGGTGACTTGCCTTTTTAAGAAATTAGATTTTACAGGCCAGCGAACAAGGATGCTGTGCTTAATTTTAACTGCTGCATACATGATCTCCAAAGTATGCTGTTTTCTCGGGCCAAAAGAGTTGGACTTGAGATATTTGTTGAGGGGAGGGGGAAATGACGAAAGCCGTGTGTTCAGTTTAAGCAAATGCGGTACTTTAGAGAGCACTCGTTCTCCAACCTGCATCATTCCTGAAGTGGTTCTTCTGGGTGATTCCATGCAGATGTATGCCTGGTTTAGGAGGGTGGGTCCCTTTATTTGGAGCCCCTGCAGCTCAGGCAGCCATAAACACTGTTTTTAGGTGCCCCCCAAACATTATTATTGATTTCACTTCTATACTGCCTGTAGCTGAAGCTTTCTGGACTGTTCACAACATTTAACTCAACCATCTGGATTTAACCAGGCCCAACCCTGCTTAGCTTTCAAAATTAGGCAGGATCAGGCACTTGAGGCTATATGAAAACACTTTAATTTCTGGAAGACTTCTTGATCCTAACCAGCCACAGTTTTATTGATCTTCTTTTAACATACAGTTTGATTCTTTAATCTATTTTTAACTCCCAGTCACCGCCCCAAAGGCTCCATACTGGGTTATATGTCTTGCAAATGAATAATAAAAAATAAGACTTTCATTGGCAATATATATTTATTGGAGAGACTTTCATTTAAAAAAAAAAAAACCAGGCGACTCAGTAATTGTTTTAAATTTTAATGGGGAGGAAAACTGGAGCCACTATCAACAATTACTCAATCAGGTTGGCTCCAGACTTGGTCCCCTTAAGAGTAGACCTACTGAAATTCATGGGATTTGTTAATCATGGCTGACATCCACTGGTTTCAGTGAGTCTATTCTTGATTATTCTCCTGACCCATTAATTTTAGTTTCTTCAAAGTTTGCTGCTGCTATTTGGCATTAACTGAGTTTGCCAGCATTTTAATTTTGATCGCAAGGCCTGAAAATGGTGTGTGTGTGTGGGGGGGGGGACAGTCTGAGTCTTACATAGTCAGAGAACTTGGCATACAAAACCTTTCTGCCCCACGTTGCTGAGGGTGCCAGGCTTTTAACGACAAATCTGTGACTTTAAGATTTTTCATCTGTATTTTTAGCATAGTGAACGGTCTTAAATGCTGTGCTTGGCCCCTTGAAGCCAGTAGACGCTGTGCCCGAATTTGGAGGCCCCATCTGTCCCCACCACCCATCCCTCCACAGGCTGACGGATGTCAGACCCCTGAGTCAGCCCCTGCCTCCCAGGTGACAGTGGAGCTCATCCCCGGAGGTTGAGTTTCGAAGGCCAGCCTGTTGCCTGGAGGGCCCTTGAAGGCCGCAGGGGTCAAACGAAGAACTTTTGCAGGCTAGATTAAGCGTGTGGGCCTGAGCTTCCCCTTTCAGAATGAAAGTGAGGGCCAGCATGGCTCTTTTGCCGTAGCTTCCCAGGCGAGCACCCGCACCCCGCATCCTCTTGGTCCCGAGGATTCGAGCTGGCTTGTTGGAATGGATGCAGCAAGCTTGTCACCCTCGCTGCGATAGAGATCTCCAGGCTCGCCTTGGGCGTGCCAGTGCCGCCTCCTCATGGCCCGTCCCTCTCCTCCAGAGCCCTTCGAGGATGCCTTGCGGGTGCCGCCTCCCGCGGCCCCCCCCGCACAGCTGGTGGCCTCCATGGAGGAGCAGCTGCGGCGCGAGCCCTGGTACCACGGCCGGATGAGCCGGAAGGAAGCCGAGCAGCTGCTGCAGGCCAACGGGGACTTCCTGGTGCGGGAGAGCACCACCACGCCGGGCCAGTACGTGCTGACCGGATTGCAGGGCGGGCAGCCCAAGCACCTGCTTCTCGTGGACCCCGAAGGCGTGGTAAGTCTTTTTTGGGGGGCTGGGGTGGCAGGGGTTAACTGCTCCAGACGGAGGAAGACCCTTCCCGGCTGCCCCTTCCCCAGCCTCGCGGGAAGCTTGCTGGCTTTCGGAAAAGGTTCTGTGACCGGGGTGGAGGGAGAATAAGAGCGACTGTGCTGGCTTGGCCCAGCCCAGCCTCCTGTGTCCCAGAGCAGCCGGTCAGTGGGAAGCCCACAGGAGCACAGTGGCATGCAGAAAGGCCAGTGCGGCTAGTGGTTAGAGCACTGGGCTGCTTCGGGTTCTAGTCAGGGGAGGTGTGAGGATCAAAGGGAGAGGAAAAGGATGAACAGCGCCTGAGGCACCATGGGCATAATGCGTCAGTCAAGTCTTCTGCTGCTGTTTCCCAGCAACCGGTGCATGGAGGCCAGCTCCCTCTGAACAGGGTGACCCGTTCCTGATGGTTGTGGCTGACTGGAACTAAGGGAGGCGGCCCACTGCATGTGGCCAAGGGTCCATCTCGACCAGCATGCTGTTCCCGGAGTGGCCGACCAGCCTGCCCCCATGGTCACGGCGGCTGTGAAAAAGGCAAACTAACTAGGAAAGGAATGCAAAATAAAACATGAGGCCAATCTCTTCCTCCCTTTTTACAGATCCATGGTGCAGCCACAGTTAGGATATTGAGTAGCGTTCTGGTCACTGCATCTCAAAAAGGATATTCTAGAGTGGGAAAAGGTGCAAAAAGGGGCAACTAAACGGTTCAAGGGCCTGCAAAGAGAGGTGGTGACATCTGGGCCTGCTTAGCTTAGAGAAGGGGCAAGTGAGGAGAGACACGGAAGAATTCTGCCTGGTTACAGAGAGCAAATAAAGAGACATTTTTGTCCCTTGTGCATCATTCAAGAACCCCCCCAGGGGATCATCCCATGAAGCGGAATGTGGGAGATTCAGGGCAGATGAAAGCAAGGATTTCTTTAGGCAGTGCAGAGTTAGATCATGGCAATCAGTTGCCGGTTATCTGGGCAAAGACAGTCACGTACTACGAGGATACTAGTCCTTATGGCTATAGCCCACCTCCAGTATCATGGGTGGGAGGGTGCTCTCATACTCGTGTCCTGCTTGTGGGTTTCCTGTGACTGGAATGTGGGACTGGATAACCCCTTGGTCTGAGTCGGCACAGTAGTTGGGTTCCCCATTCCTTCAAAAACAGTTTCCCCACTTGGGGAAGCTCCTTCTGGGGCCCCGTGCAGGCCCCACTGTATGGGTGAAACAAGCCCAAGGGGGAAGACCCGCGGCCCCCCCCCATCTCTGCGGGAGAACACTGGGCTACCAGTTCAGGGCTGGGTGTTCCTGTCTCCCCCCGTGCAGGTCCGGACCAAGGATCACCGCTTTGAGAGCGTCAACCACCTCATCAGCTACCACATGGACAATCGGCTGCCGATCATCTCGGCTGGCAGCGAGCTTTGCCTCCAGCAGCCAGTGGAACGGAGATCGTGAGGAGGGGCGGCAGGGGTGGCATCTGGGTCTCTGTCCCGCCTTCTCTCTCTCCTCTCTCTCTCTCTCTCACACACACACGCAGTTGCTGCCTTGCCCCTTCTCTGCACCGCCCCTTGGCTCACCCTGCTTTATGGGTCCTGCTTCCACACGCGTGCTGCCTCTCCTCGGGCATCGTGGCTTCCTTGACTGCTGCAGCCGGAGCGGCACCATCCCCGCCAAAGCTTCCCCCACTGAGCTGGCTCTCTCGTGTGTTCTTGGGTAGACGAAAACACACACTCACGCACCCCCCACACACACACTTAGGCTCGTGTGCCCCACCTTTCTTGCCGCCAAGCAAGGTCAGGAGCAGCACTGTCTCGCCTCCCCAAAAAAAGCCACGGGGCCAGTCCTTACTGAGGCTGCCCAGGTCTTGAATCCATGGCACCCTCCTGGATTCAGTGCGTGCGGCTTCCCTGGCTGGACAGAAGGACCCCAGACGTCACCTGCGCCCCCAGCCAAGTAACCTCACCCGTCTTCTCCTTCCCCAGCAGATGGGCGCGAACAGCCATTCCTGCCCTTGCCGAGTCTCCTGACACGTCCGAATCATGCCAAAGTCCCCGATCATGTCTCTCTTGGGGGAGGGAGTGGTGGGGAAGCAGGAGGGAGGCTGCAGGATCCTCCTCTTCTTCCAAGCACAAAAAGGGCACCCCCCCCACCCCCGGCCCCACACATCAAATCCAGCCACCGCCACCCACTTCACGTGTGGACTCTGTGTGCCTTGACCCTTTTGTAGGTCTGAGATTTTATGCAAACCCCCTCCCGCCCCCGCAGCAGCACGCTCGCGGGCCTCTTCGGAGCACCAGTGGGATCGTGTGGGGAGAGGCCGGCTGCTCTTCCCCCCCCTTTCCCCCACCCTCCGACAGGCCACAGTCCCCAGGACCAGCACAGTGGCCACAGGCTCCAGCACCCCCGCCCCCCACACACACACCTCATACGTGCTCATTGGCAAAGACGGGCTGAGCTGCTGGGGGTGGGGGCGCTTAATTTTGGCCACGCCCTACACTACAGTTCCTCCCCCCACCCCGAAAGCACAGCCTGGGTAGCACAGGGGCCTCTCAGGATTATGGGATGCACATTCCTGGGCTTGAGGCCTTCCTGCAAGGACAAGAGCTTGGGGGTGGAGCACCCAGAGCACCCAAAGGACTTGGACGGGGGGGGAGGGGGAGGGGGAGGCGTTCCTGCCGCTTCCAGGCTGCTCCCCTTCCCCTTCTTCCCCAGGTCTGTACATAAGTTTGATAAGTTAGTGTTGCATGTCTCTTGTTATACTCCAGAAGCCAAAGTGTAGCCCCCAGCCCCAATCTCTGATCACTGTGCCGGCCTCACCGTGCCGTGGGGCTTTGTTCTCACCTCACCCCCCCCTTCCCAATCCTGTACGCTCACTTTGTATCATTTTGATTTTATCTTGATTATACCAAAGGAAACCCAATGGTTATTATTATTAAAGTTGGTATTTCTTTAGCCCGTGGCTGCAGGAAGATCCTTTTGAGCTGGGTGTAGGAGGGAAAGTTAGATATTATGGGGCAGAGTGAAAGTGGGGCGGGGGGATCCACCCCTGCGAGCTCCTAGCCAGAATGGGACAACATTTGTTCAGCTGCACCCCACCTGGAAAAGAACCTGTTTCCTCACAACAAATGCTGGGTGTGAGACAAAATGACAAGGACATTTTAACACTCTGTCCATGCTGGCTCTTAGCTTCCCAGCTCTTCAATTCGGTAAACTAACAGTTCCCAAACGTGGGCCTGGTTAGCTCAGTATTGCCTGTAGTGGGAGAAAGTAGGGGAAACGGTGTTTTTCCTGGCATTTTGGCCTTAAAATGCCCCTTCTTATTAGGTATGTTGGCAAAGGCTGGTGAGAGTGAGGGGTCAAACCTTCTGAAAGGTGCCGAGGTCCCTCTCGGTGGCGCACACCCCAACCTGAGCTTGCACATTATAAGCTGGGGTTCTGTCTGGCTGCTGTAGAAGAAAGCATGGCTTGGCATGATGAGGCAGCGGGATTGTGTGCGGTAGTCACTCCCACCCCAGGATAAAAAGGCACCATGGAGCCTTCATTTGCATTCCCCTGACAAGCCAGCATCAAAATCCATGGGGCGTTTTAGGGGCCTAGGGTTAGGATAGTTGGAATTGCCCCAGGAGAGCTTCAGGGCTCCATCAAGCTTCGTTTGGCCACTCCTGCCTGCAGGCAATGGAATTCTGGCTGCTCTCTGCTGTTTCTGACCAGCATCTTTCCCAGCCCTAGCTGGAGATCCTGTGCATTGAACTGAGCATTGGACAAGCTTATAGTTCTTTAATAAGAGGGGAATATTCCTTTGTCTTCGAGTGGAACAGGCAGCCAAAGAGCAGCTCCGAGCCAGCTCTAATCCTCTGTCAACTGAACTTTCAAAGAACAATTCAGTACTTGTGTCTGATGCTAACATTTGGTTTCAGGGCTGAGGATCACCATCCCAAAGAAATGACTTTGATGTATAGAGCATGGTTTTAAAATCCAGGAAAATGCAGCTGGAACGCCGAGCAAAATGGAAAGGAGGACCACGCATTTTCTCAAGTTAATGATGCATTCTTGGTAGCTGTGTTAGTTTTGGTGGCATCCTTTGTCCTGTTTTATTATTTAAGAAAATCTCATCTGGGTAAGATGGTGCTTGGTGCAGCAGAACAGAGGCATCCATATTTTCATTAAAAATAACAGAATGGCTGAAATGAGGTACTGCATTGGAGCAGGCGCTTTGCTGCAGAATTCCTTGCTGAGCGTTTTGTAATCTGGACAACCAACAACCTGAAAGTTAACTTTTTGCTGACCCTGATCGTGGTTCAAAGGCACAATGAGCTTTCCATACTGGTATTTTATGTCTTGACAAGCTGTTTTGAACCGTTTGTGCAGAATTTTTTAACACAAAACTTGGATTGTTCTAGAATTAACATACAATTGATGCTTTGATTTTATGCCCCTGCCCCCTGTATTGTAAACATAAATGCAGGGTTGCACTGTTTAATGTTTCATCTGCTAGAAGAATGTGACTAAAATGGCAAACCCAATCAATCAGTTTATTTTGAAAACAAGTATTTTTCATGGAAGGGCTTATTAAAAGCTGCAGGGATGAAACACTTTCATGAATTAAACGGGACATGTACATCTAGGGCTGCACACCAAGGGTGTGGCATGCAATGTTTAGCCTATTACGCCATGAACTGGACAGATCCAGCTTCTCATCCTCACCTGGGTGGCATTAGGCCAGTTGTGGGCTCTCAGCCTAACCTACCTCACAGGGTGGTTGTGAAAATAAAATGGGAAAGAGGATAATGTAAACTGCCTGGCATTCTTTGCAGGAAAAAAGTGGAATATAAAATATGGTACTGGGGCATCCTAGGAGTTCTAAGGCATCCAACAGCTGAGGGGCATGAGATGGAGGTACCTTTATTAGTTTGATAGTCCTTACTCCTACTTGGCTGCTCTGTTTGCATAAACATACCAATCATATTGCATACATAGAAGATGCTAAGAGGAGAGGAAAGCTCCTTGATGCTGCACATATATATATGCATTTCTATAGCATCGAAGCGGGTTACGACACTCGCACCATCGTGCATTGCGCGCTTGCTTTCCGTAGGCTCTTGCAACACCTCGTAATAAGATGCTGCAGTTAGCTCGTGACTACAATTCCCAGGATACCAAAGGGCAGTAGGGAGCGTCCCATTGGACAACAGCCTTTCTAGCCTTTATTTCTATTGGATAGCTGCTGGGTCTATCAAAAAAAGGCAGAACTTTATATGATAGGAATCTACCACGGGAAAGAAGAGTAAAAAATGTGGTTTCATTCCATCTAAAATCCGCTCAATCACCTGTAGGGTTAGAATTTTCTGGTTCTGACTCAAAGTTTTTATAGCTCGGTAGAATATTCTATAAACAGCTTATTGTGATGCTTTTCTTCTTCGTCTCCGGTGCCAAAATGGCACCTTCCATTACCCCAACAACCAATAGAGGTAGGGCTACGAGGAACGACACTCAGAGTCGTCATTTCCGGCTTCGAGCACGGCTGGGCCGACGGCTTTCTTCCCACGCTGGGGCGTCTTACTCTCACGGGCCCTCACCATAGAGAGGATCAAAACCTAGAGCGGCTCCGCTTGGCGCTCCGTCCAAAATGGCAGGCTTCGGCGGAAGCGGAGGCACTCTGTCTTCGCGGCTCAGCCGGTTTCCGCTTCCGGTGCCGTCGCGATGGTGTGGTCCGCGCCTCCCCGGTTCTTGTAGCTGCTGCGGCTCCTCCTTTCCTCCCCCCCTTCCCCGTTCCCCCCTCCCTCTTATGGCGGCTCCTCACCCCGACAAGCTGGAGGGGGGAGTAGGCCCAGCCCCGCCGCCCCCGGGTCCGCCGGCGCTGCCTCCTCCGCCCGGCAGCATCTCCGCAGGCCCAGGCCGCAAGCAGGGCAAGGCCGGTAAGCGCCTCGCTGGTGGGGAGTGGGGCTGCGTTGCGGGGGCGCGCGGGGGCGCGCGGGGGCGGGCCCGGGGCTGCGGGGCCCGGGGCGGGGCGGGGGTCTCCCGCGCCGGTGGCTCGCCTGGCCGTGCTGCGCTGCCTGGGGGACCAGCTCTGTTGAGTGCTGCGGGCTTCGTCCAGAGCCCGAGTGGGGTGCAGGGGTCGCCGCTTCGAACTCGGCCTCGGCCTGGAATTCGCGGTGCCGAAGAGAGGGAAGTCGGGCGGAAGAAATTCGGGAGGCGAAGCTTCGCTTCCTCCTCCCCGTTCCTTAATCACAGCTGTGTTGTTTGTAGACAGTCTTGGTAGACAGGAAATGCAGCAGGTAAAGCTTCTCCATCGCAATTGTATTGATTGCATGAGTGCCTAGCGGACAGAGATACAGCAGGCAAAGTGGCGGGATCGAGCCATGGTATTCCTGTGAGAGGGTGGAGACCTTCACTTCATTTGACCTACTTGCTAGTTTAAAGCTCTCTAAGATTCTGATCATATATGTACTGATCAGGGAGTAAGTTCTGTTGAGTTTCAGAAGGCTTATGTTAGATGCTCACAAGATTGCAGTTTAAGGCAGGCTCCAAGCCAGCAAGATTCATTTTATTTTTGTTTGTTATTTGCCACTCGTTTTTATTTATCTGCTTCCTCTTTACCTAGAGTTTCTGTTTAGATAACATGGGTAACAAGCTTGTCTCCCTGAGTTTCTCTGTTCTCTCTTGAAAACAATTCAGGAAGGTGTTGCAACATCCTGTGGCAAGAAAATCCATTAAGTCATCCTGCCTTCTGAAAAGAATAGCTTTCATTTTGGCTTTGTGAAGACTTAGGAGAAGTTAGATAACATCCCTGCCCCCACCGCCTTAGGCAGGAAACTATTTTACAGGAGTCTGGTTTCTGTTTAGGGGGTCAAAAAGTGTGTGTGCTTTTTTGTGGAAATGCAAATGAGTTACCAGGGGTTGTGGGGGATACTGGAACCTTCGGCAGACTTGGTTGCAAGGTGGGATTTTGATGTCTGGCTGGTGGGTAGATGGCTGGTCTTGGGCTTTGGTGCTGATGCTTCTGTTTGCCTTTCCCGCTTGACTAGGTCTTCAAATGAAGAGCCCAGAGAAGAAGCGTCGCAAGTCCAATACCCAGGTAACGTGTGTTAATCCATTCACATGCCTGTGTGAGCAGCCTCTGCCGTTTGCCCTCTAGTTCCCCTGAGCTACATTCATACATGCTTTAATTTTCTTTGCTCTAGTTTAAATTTTCTCCATCATATGATGTAGTTGAACTCATGTCATGAAGGTCTTTTTTGCTTGTGGCTGTGTATTCTGTTCAGCAGTTTGTTTTTATTCTTTTGTAACCCACTCATGGCTTGGCTGCAAATGGCGGCTAATATATCAGTATCGCTAACAAAAAGATTCAGGTTTTTATGGATTTTTTCTTAGTTCTTTCATGCAATAAAATTATAGAATAGTAGGGTTGGAAAGGGCCACGAAAGCCACTGGGTCCAGCCCCCTGCTCAGTGCAGGACACCTGAGTTGAACTATCCCTCTCAGGTGGCTGTCCAGTTGCATCTTGAATGCCTCCAGTGTGGGAGCGTCCACAACCTCCCTAGGTCATTGGTTCCGTTCTCACACTGCTCTAACAGTCAAGACATTTTTCCTGATAAGTATTATTAATGTTTTATTTTTTCTCTATCCACTCATTGCTGTTGCTTGTGAAGTTTGAAGGCTTTGATCAATGAAAACACCTCCTGCTTTGTATCTCAGGACAACACAGCTTTGTAACTTAAACATTGAAGTAGCAGCTGTGAAAACTGGAGTTCCCTTTCGGTCAAACGCGCTGTGTCTGCATGTGCTGGCTGGGCAACACTTGTTCTTCGCATTTCTGCTTGGCTTGTTTAAAAACAAAATCCCGCTGCAAGTGCAGGAAGAAACATTTTTGGTTTTTTTCTGTTAGGCTTCATGACCATGGCCTGTAAATCTTTGTCATTCACTCGGTCCCTGCTTCAGAGCAAATAGAAAGCATCCCAGAGTGTGCTGCTGGACCATCCTGCTTGACTCCTATTCCTAGCAGGAGAGGCTAAACAAATCAGGAAATGCTCAACCGGGGCTATTTCCAAAGCAATTGCCTTGGCTTTTGGGTCTGCAACAAAGCTGGAATCCTAAGCTAATACCAGTGCCAGCCTTCCAGTCCTTGCTTGCTCACAGAGCAATCAGCCCCGTATCTCAGTGTAGATGTGAAGCTAAACAAGCTACTGGTAAGGCTTTCCCTGTTTGTTTAGTCTCTCCTGATGGACGTGTTGCACTCCATAGTCTGTCGTCCTGTTCCCCTCATGCTTCTCTTGAGTGTGCTAGCGCTGGGCCTCGTTTCTCTGTTCGCTTTTGTTCCCTGGTAGACTGCTCTGCGATTTGTTTCACGCGAGAGACTGTGTGTAAATACTGCTAATAAGTAAATGGGTAATTCCTGAGGCCTGTGAAAACGGCCATCTTGCTGCCTGAATGGCAGCCCCTGCACGGTGGGAGGCCCTCCTTCCCCTTGAGCTTACCATTGTGTCTTCTTCTCGCAGGGCCCCGCTTACTCCCACCTCTCAGAGTTCGCCCCTCCGCCCACCCCCATGGTCGACCACCTGGTGGCGTCGAATCCCTTTGAGGATGACTTCGGGGCCCCCAAAGTTGGTTCTGCTTCTGCACCTTTCCTGGGCAACCCTGGACCGTTTGGGAACTTCCGCATGCAGGGAGCCCTGGGGCCCCAGGTCCCGCCCGGCTACGGCGGAGGGCCACAGCCCATGCGGAGGCAGCCGCCCCCTTTTGGACCAAGCCAGATGGGCCCCGCCTTCAACATGCCCCCCCAGAACCCCGCCTATGTGCAGCCCGGTGGAATGGGCTTTGGAGGCCAGCCGTTTGGCCAGCCCCTGGGGCAGAACTTCAGCCCCCCCAGTGGGCAGCTCATGCAGGGGCCCATGGGCGGCTTCGGCCCCATGATCTCCCCAACCATGGGCCAGCCCCCACGCGGAGGAGACATGGGCCCGGGGCCAACCCTCAACCCCCCCGGGGGGCCGCCCATGGCCCAGCGGTTCAGCCAGCCCGGCAACCTCTTCGGACAGTCGCCCATGCAGCAGCGTCCCAACCCAAACCTCCCTAGCCTGCCCCCCAACCCCAGCCCCTTCCCCGGGCCTGACCCGAGCTTCCCCCCGAGCGGCGAAGACAGCGGAGGAGGCAAGGCCCTCAGCCAGCCTCCCACCACGTTCAGCCAGGAGCAGCACACGGGGTCGCCCGCCGCTGTCAATGGCACCCAGCAGCCGGCCTTCGCACCCAACAGCGCGGGGCACGGCGGCGCCAGCACCCCGGAGGCCAACAGTCTGCCCCCGGCCGGCAAGGCCACGGGGAACTCCGGGCACCAGCCGCCTCCTGGGCTCGTGTACCCCTGTGGGGCCTGCCGCAGCGAAGTCAACGACGACCAGGATGCCATCCTGTGCGAGGCCTCGTGCCAGAAGTGGTTCCACCGGGAGTGCACGGGCATGACGGAGAACGCCTACGGCCTGCTGACCACAGAGGCTTCAGCTGTCTGGGCCTGCGACTTCTGCCTGAAGACCAAGGAGATCCAGTCGGTGTACATCCGCGAGGGCATGGGCCAGCTGGTGGCCGCCAACGACGGCTGAGGGACCGCGAGCGGGCAGGGCGAGGTGCTGAGCCTCGGCAGACCTCTGGACAGCCCTTGGCTTCCCCCACAGGCGCCACGCCTTGCGCAGGACGGCCCGCCAGGCAGGAGAGCAAACTTTGCGTTGGTGGGTCGTGACTCGCTTGGTGGAAGGGCCCAAAGAGCTTAGGCTCATTTGTTTGGTGTTTAAAGGCCGGTGCCCTCCAGAAGCAGGGGGGTTTTATTCCATGGGGCACCTTGCCCCACACACTGCTCATCTGGGATAGCAGATGCCGTTTTAAAGAGGGTTACATTGCAGTGGCTGCTGCTGTGTGCCAGTGGCCCTGCCAGGTTGGCCAGTATCTGCCTGAAGCACCCTTCTTGGAGTATAGCCCTCCTGGCATTCCTCCTTTCTCTCTCCACTCGCCCTCCACCCTCGTTCAGACCACTACTGTGCTTTGAAGCCGTAAAATGGCCAGTCTTGGGCAGCTGTCTCTGTGGTTGCTTCTTCACACACGGAGGGTTTGATAGCTTTCCAAATGAAATGAGAGCGGTGGCGATGATTGGCAGAGCCCTATTCTTCTCTGATTTCCCCCTCTCTCTGTTGGGCTTTTATTCTGGCACCTGGCCCGGAGTGCTTTGCAGCGGTGGCTCTCCAGCATCCTCCGTGGTTCCTGTTGATCTTGGTTCTGCTTCTAGCTCATGCGCTTAGAGCGATCAGCGGCCTGCAAAAGTCGGGCTATTGAGGGACGGGACTGAGAATGGAAGTCTTCAAAGAAAAGAACTAAATACTTTCTAGAGCCAATCCCCATCGCAAGGGGACTTCAAGAAGAGCCATGCAAGGGAAACTCATGGACATCTCTAAAAAATGTTTTTTTTAAAAAAGATTTCAGTCATTTCCCTGTCCCTAATCCTTGTGTATGTTTTGTTTTGTTTTGTTTTTTTTGGTCAAATGGTTTCTGATGTGATTTTGATACCTGTTTCTATCCTGCTGGACCTTCGTTGGGGAGAGAGTTTGGGGTGGGGGTGGAGCGGGGCATAGCTGGATTTATACACACCGCCTCCCTTCTCTTTGTTTTTATGTGAGAACACTAAAAGAAAATTTTGTACCATCCCATTTAGGAAGTCATTTGAAAGAGGCGGGAGGAGTCCGTTTTCATTTGCTGGCATGTATTTGTGCTCGAAGCAGGCTTGTCTTGCAGCTCTGTTCACCTGGGCTGGATCCGAGGGGAGCAAGTAATTTCTTTATGCAAATCTGGGGTGAGGCCCCTTCGAGAATCCTGTGTGCAGCTCAGCTCACTTGCACCTCAACATGGATATTGTCGAGTTCAAAGATGTGCCGAAAGGGGCAACTAACATGAGCCAGGAGGAACGGTTCCAACATCTGGGAATATTTAGCTTAGAAAAAAGGTGAAGGGAGGGACTTCTGGCAGAGGCATATAGAATTATGCGAAGTATTTCCTCTTTTCTTATTAACCCCCTCCGCCCCCCCAACAAGGTCATCCCATAAAATTGATTAGTAGGAGATTCAGGACAGATAAAAAGAGTGGCATCTTTTCAGGGCACAGAGCTAAGCTTGCTTCCATAAGAGGGAGTCCTGCTCACTGATTTGGGTGGCTTTAAAAGGGGATTGGGCAGGTCTGTGGAGGAGAACACTCCTAATGGCTACTCCTGATGGCTGTAAGCCACCTTCAGAAGCAGAAGTAGTGGGTCTGCATCGACCCCGTGGGCCAGACACCCCTGCTTCAGGTCCAGCACGTGTTGGGAGGCCCGGTCAGCTGCAAAGTATGAGCATGCAGTTGTGGTTGTGGTTGTGTTAGGAGATCCGAAGACATTTGTGAAGGAATGGCTATGAGTCACAGGACCCCTGGGGAGTCCCCACACTGAGAAGCAATCTCCTCCAGAGTAGCAGATTAGATTAGATTAACAACATGAAGGGGTCATCGGCTTCAAGTCCTGCTCTTAGCTGTCTTGGAACCTGCTGGGAGGCTGCTGGACTGTTAGCATCACAATGCTTTTATATCTCACGTTCCTTCCTCTTGCAAGGAACCCAACCCTGCCTCTCCCGCCAACAATGGCCTAATCGAGCAAGTACTGGAATAATCACACTCAACAGCCCTCCCTTCGCTCCCATTTTCTGTCTGCAGGCCGTCCTGGCTCGGTCGCACAGCCCCCATGCTCTGCGGGCACCACGGCCCAGCCAGGAAAGCCAAGGTGCCAGGCAACACACATTAAGCTTTGCAGCTCCTTACCCCTGTGGTGCTTAAGCTTGTCCTCTTGTTCTGTTCCTTGCAGCCAAGTGACAAAAGTGGTGCTTTTATCCTCCGTTTCCCTTTCACAACATTCATCTTGGCTCGCCTGCCAAGGCAGTCCCCTCATCCTCCGAGCCAGGGCAGTTTCCTGCCAACCGACAGTTCTGGACTGCTGAAAAGGCCCAGGAGGGGTTTTAAGCTTAAAGCTGTAGCTTTCATCTTTGGGTTTGCTGAGTGCTTTTACTCCAGGAAGTCCCGAGCAGCTCGTGGGATCGTCTCTTGTTTCCTTATGACAACCCTGTGCGGTAAGTTAGGCTGAGAATCTGTCACTGGCCTCAAATCTTCCACTGAGCTTCATGGCAGAAGAGGGATTAAAATCCGCATCCCCTGAGCACGAGGCCAATGCTGTAATCACAACACACAGGTGCAAGTTTTGTACGCTATGGTGATTTTGTAGGGGCTGGTGAGGTTTGGGCTGAAAGAGGATGGGGGAGCCGTTTTTTGGTTGTGGAACTGGGGAGCAAGCTCCTGGGCTTGGTTTTTACTTTGCTAGAACCTCGAGGGTGGGGTGGAAATTCCAGCCAAAGGGGTACTGTCTGCTGTAAATGGCGACTTGGGAAGGAAAACTCACATGCTTCCTGGACTTGCCTATACAAGAACAGAGCAGTGTTAAAGGAGTCCTCGGGGCATGTGCAAAAAGCAGGTCAAAGGCCACTGCGCAGTAGGTTCCTTTTGTAGGTGAAGAGCACCTAGTCTGGGGGATACTGACTCGGTTTTAAATTTTCAAGTTTGCTTTTGCTGGCTGTGAAGAGGCAGAATCCCTTCGGTTCTGCCCAGACCCCTTGGAGATTCACTTCCTGGTTGGTTTCCAGATGTGTTGGGCTGGAACTCCCGCCATCCCCCCCAGCCAGCATGGGGGCACTGGGCACCGTCACCCCAGATGTCCAGCGATCACCTGCTTTTCTCCCTTCGGCATGTGCTTCTTTAAGGGGCCTCTTGCTCTGCCTATCCAGCAGCGCCCCAACTCTGCCCCGCTGCCGGTGGGAGAACGAGAAATTCCCCCACTCTGTTTTCCTCCTGACCCCGGTCTTCAAACCTCGACGCTTATTTTTAGGGTCGTGCTTTCACTGAATTCTCGGGAAGGGTGTCGAAAGATACCCGTGACTGACATGTGAGTGTTCTGGAGTTGAGCAGGAGTCTTGCGAAGAAGGTGGGAACTGTGCGGCAGCCCAGGGGGGTGAGGAAATCTTCCTTGGTGCAGGGAGCGCCTGGCCTTCCCTGCTGTCCAGCTGTTGCTGTCTGTCTTGCCAGCCTCACCAAGCTTAGTCATCTCTGTCTGCTGGAGCCCAGGGGGATGGATTTGGGGCTGGGAGGGGGGCACCAGCCCAACCTGGCCTCCTGGCAAAGTGAAGCTTCCCCGGGAGGGTCCTCAGGGTCCCCACCCCACCCCACCCCACCCCTTGCCTGCTGTCCTCTCATCCCAGTCTTCCTCTTCTCCTCTCCCCCCCCCCCAACGGCAAGGTGAAGGGGCTTCCTCCACTGCAGAGCCCAAAGTTGGGCTGCCTCCGCATCCATTGGCTGAGCTGGTGTTCCCAAGCGCGGTGATTGGCTCGGTGGCCCTCCCGGTCCTGCCCTCTTCCTCTCTGCAGGCTAACGAGCTGCGAAGTTTTTGGTAGAAAGTTGCCCAGAGGAGTGGAGTCATCCTTCTTCCTTCCTTGCCCCCCTAAAAACATCCAGATTGGGGGCAGTGGCTCCAGGGGGATTCCTGGGCTAAGGTAAGGATGGATGGGGAGGTGCAGAGAGCTGAGAGGGACCTGGGCGAGTCACTCGGGGCACCGGGCGGGCAGCCCCATGGGGTGCCGAGCGGGGGACGAGTTCCTTGTCTCGCCTTAGCAAGCATCCCCTACTCAACCAAAGGGGAGGACCTTTGGTCCAGGGCGGGCTTGCCGATGCAGTTACCATGGCAACATCCCCATCACCTTTCCAACTCTACCTTTGACTCCACAACCTGTGTATGTTAGCACATTTCCTGTTGAGGGTACCTTACTGCCCTTTGGGGTATATAGAGAGACGGGACAGAAATGAAAACAGCTGACCCTGATGCCCCCTCATCCCACACACACACACGAACATTTTGGGTGCACACACTAATCCAAAGCTCTGGCTTATGCGGGGAGGGGGGGTCCTGTTGCAAACTGAGGTATGGGGGCTTTTGTTGAACCATGGAGGGTTCTTGCTACCTTAGTCTCTTGGCCTTGAACGCCTTACTCAAGGAGGCAACCTGGCTTTTCTGCTTATAAAACAAGGGGCCATTAAACAATTTGATGGCTGGCTTTTATGGAGGCGGATTTCTTATTTATAAAAAGCTTAAACCCTAGACGTGTATTGGAGGAGATCTATACATCCTTCCCTTGTGACTATGAGTGATTGGTTTGTTGCTCTCGGTGTCCTTAAAAGTAATGTTTATACATCAGTCTTGGAGCATCAGGGCACCCAAGGATTTTGCCGTCATCCCAGTAACAGCAAAATCCTAGGGCTATCCACTCTAAATACCCTCAAGTTCAATGGGGTTCATTCCCAGGTAAGTGTAAGTATAGGACCATCTCCTCGACATGACACCTGGGATGGGGAACAGGTAACCCTTCAGACCAAAGGCTGCTGGGCTTCAAGCCCCAGCATCACTCTCCATCATAATTGATAAGGGGGGACAGGAGCTGCAGCCCCAAACATTTTGGAGGGCCCTTGTCAGGCAGTTGGTGCCCCTCCCCTTCTGCATTTGGGTTGCACTTGTGTTTTATTGTTAATCATTTCTGCATCGCTGCTCCAGGATCAGAGTACTTGGTGCCACTGAACCCAGCCATCCTTTGTAGCCGCCCCTGTAGGTGAGCCGTCTAATTCCAGAAGGGTATTTGCAGTTAAGCGAGAGAAGAGGCTAGCCCTTGCAGGCTTCCAGATGTTGTTGGAGTCCAGCTTCCATTAGTCTCAACAAGCGTATCCAATGATGGAGCGTGTGTTGCGGCATCTGGTGCGCCACAGTGTCGTCTCTGCCTCAAAAGGCCACTTTTAACCTGCAGTGAGTGATCAAAGGTCTGCCCCCGTCTGTCTTCTGGACCCTGGTCCCACCCTCCACACCATTAAAAGCTACCAGGACGCTTGGGAGATTCCAAATTTATCTTGTGAACAAACCAAAAAGGGCCAACAGCTAGCTAGGTTCGCTGCTTTCGGGCCAGCTGGGAATTGCCTATTAAGGGCATCCTGGCCAAGGTTGCTATGACATCTGGCGGTGAAGGGGCGGGAGGGACACAAAGTTAGAAGATATTTTGACAAGGAGGACGGTGAGTTTTCTGCCTGCCCGAGGACGCATCTGTGCATGTCGGGTGCAAATAATGTGGCGCACGTAAGAGCCAAGGTGCAGTTTGGTGGCTGTGAGGTTTGAGACTTTTATATCCCGGCATCTTTTCTCCAAAGTGCCCTCCTGCAGCATTTCTCCAAGGTCCTATTGATTGGGAGAGATTAAACTTCTGGAAAAGCTCACTTAAGACCACAAGCTTTTTAAAATCTCCCACTGGGTTGTGAGTTGTGCTTCCTACATCAAAGTCAGGCTTTAAATAATCACGGGGGGGGGGGGGCAAAGAAGAGGGGAAGCGTGTCTAAGTTGCTCCCTTGCTTTCCTGGATCCACTGCCTTTAGGGGTAGGAAAGACCCGGCTGGCTGGCCAGGCAGCCAGCCGTCTCAGCCGTGCCCCTGCCTGTTGAGCAATTTCCACCTGCTAAACTGCATTAAAAGGAGCTAAAAATACCACCTTCCTTTTCCCCAAAGTCACTCCCCTATTTCGACAGCTGTTGTGCCAAGAGAGACGAGGGGGAGCTTCAGCGAGAATTCTTAAGGGAGGGGAAGGTGCCTTGTTTTGGGGTGGGGGCCACTGGTTATTTTAGAGAGGTTAGTGTGGCTATTCCCGTTGTGCTCCGTAGCACCCCTTGCCGCTTGCGTTCACCCCTCGCTTTGCAGCTTTTCTACCCCCCTTATCATTTCTTCTTCTGGCTCAGGCCAGCTCTCTGCTTCCTCGAGCGCTGGGTAATTGGACCACGTTTGGAGACTGGCATAATTTGGATTCTCAGCATTCCCTCTTGAGCTAGAATAGCACTGGCCAGAAAACATTAAAAACAGCCTCCCTCCCCTTCTTTCGCAAGCCATTAAGGGAAGATGCTACAAACAGAGGTCTCCTGGCCATGCGCCCTTCTGCCTTCGCTCTGTGTGTCTATTTGAAAGAAGGATTTAAAGTAATGTGGCAAGAACAACATAATTCTGCCTATCAATCTCTACTCCCTGCCTCCCCCTTCATTGTGTGTGTGTGTGTGGTGGGTTTAAGTTTTATAATTGTTTTATGGACAATTTGTGGAAGAGCAGCAAAAAAGTTTCCACTAAAGAAACAAAGCATTTCCCTCAGGGAATCGCTCAAGGAAGGCACAGGCGTTCAGGCCCTCCCCTCAGTCTTCGGTCTCCTTGCCGAGTTTCATCGCTGGCATCTCAAACCTTCACTGTTCTTGGCTTCCTCGCCAGCGGATCTTGGCAGCTGGCGTTGCAGTTCGGGTGCTGGAGAGCGGGGCTGAGCAAAACCCGGGTGAAAAACACACAGCTTGTTCCGCTGCAAAGCTTATTTGAGTGAAATCGGGGCAGTTTTTCTTTCAGTGTGACCTACCTCACAGGGTGGTTGTGAGGGGACAGTGGGGTGGGAAGCTGCATATGTGTGCCAGCGTGGATTTTTCTGGGAAGGAAACACAGGATTCTTCTGGCCCGGCACTCTGAAAAGCCATCCTTTGTGTGTCTTACAGCGCCACTGGCTTAGCATCCCTCTGGCGTGTCGACATCACTAGCTGCCTGCCCTTCCTCCCTCCCCCAGAGACAGGCCTTCCAGCCCTGGAAAGCACGGGGAGCCTTTTTCCCGTGGCTTGAGTGGGGTGGCCCAGAGAAGAGCTGGTGCCGGCCCAGAGGCCCCTCGCCAAGGCTGCTGCGAGGGAAGTGGAGGAGAGGCAGAAAGCCGCTCTGTCTGGGGGTTTCCCATCCAAAGTTACCCGTACCTGTTTCCACGCCCCAATCAATTTGACAGTCAAATCCCCATGCTGTGAAGCTGCCCCCTCCTCCATCCCAGGTGCAGGAGCCTTGGCGTCCACTTCTCTAGGCCTGCGGCAGGCAGGCAGGCAGGCGGTGGGTTGGGTTGGGTTGGGGGCCTCTTGCTCCAGAACCCCGAGAGATCTGCAGTCGCCTGGGCGACCCCGCAACTCCTGAGGGTTTAACAATAACCAGATGCTGTTTTTCCCCCAGGTAAATTAGGTTGCTGAAAGCTTGTGGGCCCTTTGGTGCGAAAATCCCCATGAATTCTGAGCCCCTGCATGTGATGCTCAGGGACAGTCTCTTCTTTAATTCCAATATTACGTCTTTTGCACCTTTCTCCAATGGGAGGATTGTAAAGTTCTGGTTTAGGGGGTGGGGGGAAGCTAAGCTAGATTGGACAAGCCTGAACTCTGCCCAGCCTCTGCTCCAGGTATCTTTTCTGGTTGCTGTGTAAGGACTTTGCACTCGAGGAGACCCTGCCGATCACGGCCATCTGCAAGGTGCCAGGAGGGAGCGGGCGGTGCTGTGGCCTGAGCCAGAATGGCTGACAATCTGGACTCTCGCGAGCTGGAGAACAGCAGCTGGGTGATCGCCGGTTCCGAGGTGAGTGGTGGGGCCGAGGGCCAGTAGCAAACCGGGTAGGGGGCTCCCTGCTGTGGGGGAGGGAGCTGCGGCAGTGGGGCAGTTTACCCAGCTTGCCCCCGCGCCCATGGAGCGTGCACCTCTGTCCTCCGAGCCTCCCTCTGCAGCTGTAGCAGAGGCAACGCCAGGCTGTCCCCTCTCTATGCTTTGGCCTCAAGCAGTGTAGCCGGTTGCCAGGGATGCTAGGAGTTGTAGTCCAAAACACCTGGTGAATGCAGGGTTGGAGATGACTGCACCGAGCCCGTGTCCCCGCTCGGCAGGCAGTGCAGCTTCCTTGTCAGAGCAGTCTTGCTGCTTGCTGGAAGAGGAAAATTTTGGCACCAGGGAGACCTCACTGGCCGAGTGTCAGGGGTGATGGGTTCTGTAATCCACAAAAACCACCAAGAGTGTTTTAGTCAGGGCAAGGAGTTGGGGACTTTCTGCAGGCAAGGCAGGTGCCCTGGCCTATAGCCCTTCCTCGAAAGGTAAAGCAAGGTTCTAGATCTCATGAATGTGCAGCCTTCATGCAGACTGTCTCCTCTGCTCCTGAGCCCCTGTCCATGCACAGACTCGCCCAGTTCAAAAGGGAGACCGCCAGCCTTTTCCTCACGTTTTCTCTCTCCAGGCTCTCCATGTGGAAGACCTTGGCCTGGAAACTTCCGAAGTGGCTGAACCTGCAATGGAGGACTCCCAGGGTATGTGGGGAAGGGAGAAATACCGCCCCCTGCTGACTGACCGCCCTGACATCCTTCTCCTTAACTCCCCTGCCCCACTCTGCTTCTCCAGGCCCGCCCCACCAGCCACACTTGGGCAAACGGGGGGGGCTTCTAAGCCCTGCCGTCCAGGGCGAGTGGCAAGCACCCCAGGCCCGAGTCTGGACCTCGAAGGTGTTCTCCATGGCCTTGAACCTAACTCAGAACCAAGTCTGGCATCACCGGCTTTACTGCTTATCCGATATTGTAGGACTCGGCCTCCAGTGTGACAAGAGCCCAAATCTGAGCCACCTGGGGGCCCGTCAAGCACTCTGAGCTTCCCTAGATGGCCCCTCCAAACACGGGTTGCTTTTGCAGCTTTTGCACATTTCCCACCCAGAAACACAAGCGCGAAATTCTCCCAAGGCAGCGAAAGCATGAAGCTCTGCTGCATGGCTATTTCGGCCTTGCTCCCTCCGTCTCCAGCCCCATCCCTGCCCGGGGGGGCGGGGGGGAGCCCAGGCAGGAAGATCTCTGATACCCCTGCCTTAGAGCTCCCTCTGTTGGCCACGTCCACAAACACAGACCTTTTGAAAGGCCTTTTGTGAACCCTTAGGCAGAGGCTATATGGCCTAGTGGCTAGCCTGTTGAATGAGAACTGTGGAGAGGTGGGTTCAAACCTCCCAATCAGTGAGGAACATCAGGTCTCTGTCTCTCCCCCCCTCCACTTTTTATTTTTTTTTTAGACAGAAAAACCCCCATAAATACAATACTTCACAACAGTGATAATATATCATAATAAGAACACAATAATTAAGAAAATAATAAATGATAGAGTGCCCCCACCACCCCAGAGACCAATACCACCACCATTCACATACTGTAACAATTAATAATATATAATATACTTCAATTATATCCCTATCCCCTCTGGAAACTCATATAATCTTGATTGGGTTTACAGACTTTGCCTTCTGTCAGTAGTGCTTTTACAAATTCTTCCCAAATTTCATTATATTTATTTGCTTTTATTAACCCTTTTTAAATTTTTATGTCTGTCGTCAGTTTATCATTAATTACCATATTCCATTATTTTATTTATTTATTTATTAGAACATTTTTATGCCGCCCCTTGCCGAAGCCTCGGGGCGGCTTACAACACAATAAAATACAATAAAATACAAAAATAACAATATAAAATTAAAATTAACAATATAAAATAAATAAAAAATATAAAATATAAAAGAAGTCGCCCTGGCCAGATAAATAAGCAAATATTGTTAACAATTAAAATGACGTTTAAATAAAAAGGTCTTCACCTGGCGCCGGAAAACAAATAACAAATTATACCATTCATGCCTTTGCAAAACCCAATTCTGTTTCCAATATTTAACTATCACCAGCCTAACTGCCATTATCCACAGTCTCTGTCTTGAGCCAAACCTACTTCACAGGGCGATGGCAAGAATAAAATGAGGTCAGAGACCACACAGGTGTATCTTGTGTTCAAACATGTATCCTGCATCTTTTCCTATAGTCTCCATTTCTGAGTGTGAATTCCCGAATGAGCATCCCGATCTGGAGGAATCCGAAACAAAGGTAAGATGTTAAAACTAATATGCAGTTGTGATCACTTCCCAGTATTTGTTCTTTTATCCCTCCCGTTTGGTTAAGTTGTATTGCCAAAAGCTCCTCAGAGTTTTGAGATAGCGGGTCTTTCTTTGTGCTAAGAAGGCAAGCTGCTGGGATTTCTTTATTGTTCAAACTAGTCATGCTGAGAAATTAAATACACATATTATAATAATATAAATGTTATTTTAAAGTACAAAATGATCCTCATGGTAGCTAGAGAGAATTTTATTTTTGCATAATTCGGACATTCCCTGTCTCTTGGATGTGGCCTGGTCGGAAATGAACAAAACAGACCATTCACAGTACAAGAGAACTGCCCCTGATGGGGATTAAAAACTGTCTGGATCTCATTTGTTGGTATTTATCTATAACATGTCTATCCTTCATTCTTTCCTGCAAGCAGCCCCACATATCTGACAGAATGGAGCTAACTGACTGACTTTAAGCCAGTCATAGCCCAACCTGCTATGTGGGAATAAAATTGAAAATTAGATGTAAAAATGCAGCCTGCCTTGAGTTCTTTAAAAAAGAAAAAAGCCAGGCTATAAATCTAATAGATAAATAAATAGAATCCTTCTCCTCTTCGTGTCATCTCACAACAACCCTGTAAAGTAGGTGAGTAGAGACAGTGACTAGCCCAAAGTCACCCCATAAGCCTCATAGCCAAGTGGGAACTGGAACCCAGAGGTCCTAAGACCCGGCTCCACTAATGCCAGACTGGAACTAATCCATTTTTCGTGACACAAAGTATGTTCAGAACAGGCAATGAAAACCCACTCGCTGGACAAAAGGCCGGCTCCCAGTGCAGGAGGAAAAAGCTGATTTGCTAGAAATGGACTGGCACCATTACTTGGGGTTGCATGTATATAGATAGTGAGGCTGAGCCCTGGTGCTTTTTACAACCTTCCCAGTACTTTGCTTGTATTAATCTTAGGAAATCCATAACAACCAAATTTGCGAAGTTATGAAAGGATCGACTCTTGGCAATTCAAATGAGCGTGTGCTCAAGTGAGCGCTTTAGAAGACATTATGCAAAACTTCTTCTAACAACTGTGTACGTTATCATATAAATAATACCTAGGCTGTCACCCAACTGAAATCAATCTGAAGTTTATAAATTTGTTGATATTGGGATAACTCAAGGTAATGTGTACCTGTTTTTAAGCACTTGAGGTAAAAGACTGAACACACTTCTCGATCTACTTAAAGGCAATAGTTAATGCATTTATGTAGAGAGAGGGTCATGAAAGAACTGGGCACTTTCAGACTTGAGAAGACTGAGGGGGGACACAGTATCCCTCAAGAAGTCCCTCAAAGGCTGTCACAAAGAGGAAGGCCAAGACCTCTTCTCATTGATGCCAGAATGTAGGACACGGAATAATCAATTCAAGTTGCGACAACCCAGATTCAGGCCGGACATCAGGAAGAGCTTCTTCACTGCCAGAGCAATAGGACAGTGGAGCCAGCTTCCCGGAGAGGTGGGGGGCTCTCCCACACTGGAGGCATTCAAGGCTGAGTGGGTGGTGCGAACTGGTGTCCTGCAACAGCAGGGGGTGGACCTGATGGCCTTCCTGGCCCCTTCCAACTCTACTGTTCTATGATTCTGTGTGCTGTAGTGGCCTGGGACTCAAAAGCCTCGGGTTCGGGGTAGGGTCACCCCCGTGTTGCCGTAAAACTCGCTGGGCGATTTGGGCCAGTCCCTCACTATCAGCCCATCCTACCTCACAGGGCTGTTGTGAGGATAGCAAAGGAAGAGTAGTGGAGGATCGTGGTAAGCTGCCTTGCCTCCTTGGAAGTAAGCCAAGATAGAAATGTAACGCAAAAAAATTAGTCAGAGGTGAGCAGAGAGCTGCCACCCTCTTGCAAAGTGGCTGTTTGCAAGACCGCCTTTTCCTTCATGAGAGCATCCACCGCTCAGGTTGCTCAGCGGAGCCTCTGCCTTGTGTTCTGCTGCATTGGCAGGTGGGGAGAGGCAGTGCCTTTTGGATGGTGGCCCCCTAGTGCGCAAGCTCCCTCCCAAAAGAGGTTTGCTGCCTGCTCTGAGGCCTTTCAGCAGATGCATAGGCTTTCTTGATGACGATTTTGCCAAGCTTTCCTGAGATTGAAATCCTCACCTGCCCATCGATTTCCTTGTTGTATCGCCACGTTCGTTTGTCGTCACTCCCTTGGCTGTGTCCATTTCCAGGGCCAAGGCAGCATATAAATCTTTTCCTTCAAAAAAAGAAACCGTAAGCAATGCCATTTGAACATTGGCCAAGAAGCCTGAGTTGGGTTTTTCAAACTACTCTCTGTCTCCCGATCCAGGGCCCCGAAGCAGCATTGGATCCGAGTCCCGAAGAGAAGTCCAGCGTTGGAGTGCCCAGGATCCCTGAGTCCACCCACTCATCCCCACAGCAGCTGAAGGAGCTGGGTGGGCACGACGCCGAGGGAGGGTCTGTGCCCGTCACCCAGGAGGCCCACCAGACCCACGAAACCTGTGAGTCTCTGCATGGCAGGGGAGTCTCGCGCGGCTGAAGGGCCAGTTCAGTTTCAAAGATGCTCTTCGGGGAGCATCCCAGCAGTGGCCCAAAAGAGGTGGGGGTCCCACAGATGCCCAAACAGAATACCAGCATTTTCCTCACTTAAGGCTGTTTCTGCCAGGAACGACGCCTTGAGAGAGGCGTTTTGATCTTTTGGGATGGGGCGATGCACGTGCGTTGATTCCCTTTCCGTACCCCATTCTGTGCAATTACTTGGTGCGGAGCTGCGAAATAACGTGAGCAAAAAAAAAAATAGGTGGACTGAACTCTGTCCCACAGAGTTTGCAAATGTTTGTTTTGATGCAAGAAAGGGCCAAGCGGGTGTAGCCAGTGAGTATACGCTTCGTTCTTTTGGGCTGAAGCAAAGGGAGATGGGAAAGAGGAGCCATCCCATCAGCTTGGCTAAAGACTGGTTCTATCAGGCTTTTCCTCATCTTGAAGTATTTTTATGACTGGTCAACATAAGCACAAGTATTTAACATTAAGGATTGCTGCTTGAGGCTTCTTCTGTTTTTCCTCTTCTCTGCATCCTTTTCTCCTTTTGTGATGTGTCTATTTAACATTAAGCCTGCAGGCAAGGACCATCTTGTTTTTATTCAGCAGAGATAAGCCACTGAAGAACAGGGTAAAAGATTTAGTCAGTGTTTGATTTATACTCTGTTTTATTGCAGTGCTGTTCCACAGTCAAAGCTCTCTGGGCAGTTTTAACACAGTCCATAAAAATGGATGATAAAATTAAAAAGATCATAACATCAGGGAAAATATTCAAAAGTTTTAAACAGGTTAAAACAGATAATAATAGGGAATAAAAGAAGAATGTTGGCTTGCTTTTCTACCAAGAAAAATGGTGCTGAGGATAGCTTATGTATTTATCTATTAATTTGATAAATACATTTGTGCTTTCCATAAATAAATGTGAACAATTTCATGGGCCTCAGGATGATCTCCAGTGTGTGGGGGGGGGGGGGCGCGGACACTAAGGTTTATGGGCCTAGAGAAAGGACTATGGGGTTCTGCAACAGGATTTCAGAAGAGTGGTGTGCTCAGTACTGTGCATTGTAAGGAATACTGAGCTAGCACCGAGTTGGAACTCAAGGCTTAAAGGACTTTCTGCTTTCTCCTGCCTCTTTGCATTCTTCAATAGCTGTTTTGCTTGGTTACCTGGAAGCAATTTCTTCTTCGCCATAGGTGCGCAGCTGCAGGTGGTCAGATCCTGGCATGCGGATGAATCCTCTTTCCTCCTCCTCCCAGGTCTTCAGAAAGAAGCAGCAAAGGCGCCCAGCAGTGGGGAAGAGCCAGTGGCCAAGTCGCGCGATGTGGAAGGGCTGCGCAGACGGAAAGGCCGCGATGTGCAGGCTGTTGGGCCAGGGGCTCTCCCAGATCAAGACGAGGAGGATGTCCGTGGCGAGATCCTTGGGAGTAAATGGCTGCTCGGGTTACTAGTCCTCGTGGGTTTGGGCTTGCTGGTTGCTCTGGGTAAGCAAGAGCCCTCACACAGCTGGGAGGGGGCAGAGTCTCCCCGGCACATGGCACATTCACTCACACTTTGCCTCTCTTTACAGGAGTCGTTGTCGACTCAGATGACGGTGAGTGTGGCGACGGGGTTGAACAGCACTCTGCCAGCCCCAGATCCAAAAATGTGGTGCTGGTGGAGAAGAGGGCAGGGTGGGCCTGAAGGAATGAGAGGCGGGCAGGAATGATCACAAGTGTTCCTGTAAAATTGGAGTTCTTCCAGTGATGCAAATACCCCCCCTTTGTTTCTCAGTGGCTCTGTTTTGGCTGCAGTCACCAGAGTCTACGTGCATTTTTTGAAAAGTGGAATGAACAGCAGTAATTCCTGTCCCTCTGCTTTAATGCAGCTTACCCCAGGCCCTCATTTCTTCCCGCAGCTTGAAAGCAGCTTGCGATGCATTAATGCATGTGTCTATCTTGGTCGTGTGCAATCGAGATGGAGTAACTGATTAATTTATTTGACAAGATTTATGCCTTGCTTACCATAATAGCAATTTCTGAGCCATGTCAAAAATGCAGCATAAGGATCCTAATTAAATACTGCATGTTGTTACTGTATACAGAGGACAAGGTTAGCTTCCAGGGAATGCTTTGCTGAAAAATATATGCTTGGAAGCCTGGCTTAGAATAAAGATCTCCATTTCTCCTCCTCCTCTTCCTCCTAATTTCTGATTCTGTCCTCACTACTACCTCCAACAGGTCCTATGGATATTTTAGGTGCCTGGCCAAGCGCCGACACTCAAGAGCCACATCCTGGCACAGATGGAAAGGTGTGAGATACGTTTCTTTGCTGGCCCCAAGTAGGTTTAATTCTCTCCCTCAAACTCTCCTCATTTGGATCCTGTTCTTTACCGAGAGTAGACCGTGCTTCTTGCTAAGTTCTCAAAGGCAAAAGGGGCAAGCTGCCCTCGCATTTTTAGAGTAAAACTCTTCCCATCAGTAACTAAGCCTCAGGAAAGTCATCCCAACCTTTTAGAGGGAGGGTAAAAGAAAACTGCAGAAAAACCAGGAAAGAATTGGCGACTGGGGAAAGGAGCACTGGCCAAGGGAAGGGGGTTCGGCCCTGGGGACAGCCACAAAGAACCAGAATTATTGCACCTGGGATTTATAGCAGCCCAGGTCACATGGAACCAAAGCTGTAAAAAGACAGTCTGCGTGTGTTTTTTCATGACGCACTTGTGTGTGTCTAGAAATCTTTTTAAATACATCAGGAATTCATGGGGAAAGCTGAAGTCCCCGTGACACCTTCGAAGCAATAATGCCTCACCCTCCTCCACTGGGGGATTCAGCCGGTCAGCCTGGAAGATCAAATCGTGTGCTTGGCAGACGCGGCTGTCATTTGCCAATTTTGCCCCAGCAGGATGGGCCGGCCGCGCCCCTGCCGGCATCCCCGGGCGATGCCAAACTTCAACGAGCCAAGGAAGCGTTGCGGTTGGCCGGACACCCCGGCGACCCTCAGAGCCTGGAGGCCGTGGGACTCATGCTGGACAAACTGGCCAAAGAGAACCAGGACATCCGACTGATGCAGGCTGAGCTGCGGGTGAGCGGTGGCCGGGCACCGGCGGCGTCAGTCAGGGAGCGATCAGAGAGCGGCCGAGGGGGTGACCTTTCTCCGTCAGCAGCCTTGGGAGGATGCTGCTAGTCAAAGCTGGCAGTGGGGACTCGGTGACCCAGGCGGCTTTGGCCAAGGCGGCTGCATAGCTTTCCTTGCCTCCCCCATTTCTCTTCTGCTCGATCTACTGCCCTCCCTCCCTCCTTCCTTCCCTCCACCACTCTTTTCTCTCGCTGCATGCCACCATCCTGGTCTCTCCTCCTCTCTCTACCTCCGTGTGTTTCTCTCCCTCTCCGCTGCTACCCATTTCTCCCTGTCTCTGCTCTTCCGCCGCCAGTGGTGTCGCAGGAGAGAATAGCCCCTCTCTTAGTTGCTCTGGGCATTCGCCGCCACATATGAGCAAGCCCCAGGGCGGAAGTGATATTTTCCATAATCCAGCAAGGGCACAAGCAGAGAGGTGGATTCCTTCTTGGCATCTGCACGATTTTGGGGTGGGGATCTCTATCCCTGCCCTTCCAGTTCTCATATTGCCCTTTCTCTCCCTGGCTCCGCAGGCCCAGAAGGAGGAGCTGGAGACTCTGCTGCGCAAGTCCGAAGGCGAGGCGCTGGAGGTCACCTCCCGGCAGCAGGATTTGGCCGCAGAGAACGCCCGGCTGACGGAGGCGCTGCAGCGGGAGACGGCCTCCCTCCAGGCCGCACAGACGGAACTCCGCCTCCTCCGGGAGAAGCTGCAGGGCCTGGGCGAGGCGGGCAATGGCAGGCCCCAGCAGCGCCCCGAAGAGGAACCCGCCCCGGACCGCCACCGGCACAAGCCGGAGCGCCCCGAAGCCGAGCTCCAGCGGCTGCGCGCTTTGCTGGCATCTGTCCAGCGCGACTTAGCAAGAACCCATCAGAAACTTCCGCCCGGCAGTGAGGCTGAGGGGCTCCGGGCAGAGCTGAGCGGTGTGGAGCAGCGGCTGGGCCAGGCCCTGGAGGGAGCGGAGGGCACGAAGCTCGTGTGGAGAGACAGCCTCAAAGTCCGGCGGGGCAAGGAGAAAGCCTGGCGCAGGAGGCTGGATGGCCCGCAGGAGCATCGGCCCAGCCACCCCGACGAGGGCCCGGACAGGCAGCACAGAAGCCAGCACCCTGCCCACAAGGCTCCCCGGGCGGCCAGCGAGGGGCGGCCCCGTCCCCGGAAGCCCCAGGGCGGCAAGGCGGCCCGGGACGGGGAGCACCAGCGCACGAGCCGGAAGGCCAAGAAGCCCACCGAGCCGGGCTCCTTGTGGGAGATGCTGGCCAGGCGTCAGTACCGGGCGCCCCAGGGCTGCAGCGGCATCGCCGAGTGTGCCCAGCAGGAGGGGCTGGCACCGGTCCTCAAGGCCAAGTTCCTGCCGCTGGTGCAAAGCTACCTGGCCGGGCTGGGCTGGGCCGAGCACTACGAAGGCCTGGCGGCAGCGCTGAGCACCTTCTTCGGGAGTAACGGCACCTTTGCCCATGACCGCCTCAGCTTCGTGGACTTCCTGGATGAGGTCGAGGACGCCCTGGAGGAGCTGGCTGAGCTCCTGGGGGTCAGCAAAGAGGACGTGGATAACTTTGAGGAGATGGCTCTCACGCAGCTCGAGGCAGCCCCTTGGGGCAGGTGAGGCTGTCGGGGAGGGGCTGCCAGGGCCCAGAGGTGTGGGGGGTTTAGGGGTGGGAGGTCTCCATGAGGACAAAAAGGGGCAGAAGCCCACCTGCCCAATTAAGATGCTTCTTCTTGCTCATCAGCCTCGTGTGTTAAATGCATTAACCAGTTGTCCTCATGAACGTTCTTTCTAGGACAACTTAATTATTAACAAGTTTAAATGTATGTCATGGCATTATTCTTACAACTAGAATTTTCAGATTCAGGCTTGTTTTTCTGGGAAGCATTTGCTGGATGCTGCCGAAACAAGGACAAATGGGGTCAGCAAAAAGTCCGCACGGCCCACCCGCCTCTCTCCCCCTCTGCCACCCCCTTCCACCCCCTTCCCTCTCGGACTCAGTTTGCACGGTTGCGACCTGCCGCACCCTGCCATGTACGCTACATGGATTTCCTCCGCTGTCTCTCCGGGCCAATTTGCCCTTGTCCTCCGAGTTCGGACGGAGTGGCTTGTTTGAGGGCACAGGAGCCTGTGTGAGACATTAACTGCCAAGGCTTCCTTATCCGCCAGGATCATGCAGACCGGCCCTTTTTCCTGCTGCTGCTGCTGTCCCTTCCCTCCCACATCCTCAGTCTTTCTACTTCCTGTCATGTTTTTCAGCCACAGCCCCTTCCAAACCTGTCCCGGGACGGGAAGCAGACCTTTCTGCATGGGGCGGTGTTTTTATACTGAAGCACGGGGTCTGATCCACAGCAGCAAGGGGATCGGACCAAGGAGAGGGGCAGCCATTCCTTCAGATGAAAGAAGGGGGTGGGTTGGGTGGGTGTTTATGCCTGCGCATGGGTGCATCACATGTTCCCCGGTGCCGTCCTTCGACTCCCCCTGAGAATCGCCTTCCTTACAGGTTTGCGCAGCGAGACCGTGGCCAGCAACCCGCGAAGGAGTGGAGCCGCGAGGGACACGCTCGCAAGAACGGCAGAGAGAATCTCAGCCGGAACCACAGTTAGAATCATGGCCTGGCGTGTACGTAGCTGCATTGGGACAGGGAGAGAAAAGGCCTGTATGCTTGCCGAGGAAACGAGGGCCGGGAGGGGCTCGCTCCAGTGCCGAAACCTGGCAGGGAAGTCAGCGGTTCCCAGCACGGGACCCCCCTACCAGGTTCTTTTGTGTGTGTGCTCACCTGGATTACCCTCGCCTGGTCCCCCACCCACCTGCATCCACGGCAAACCTCCAAGGGGTTCAGCCAGAGCAGTCTTTTTAGTGATGTCGTAGCTTCCCTCCGCGCTGCAGGGAAACAAAGGCTTTCCGCCCAGTTTCCCCTTGTTTGCCAGGCTGCCCTGGGTGACACGCCGGCTGGAAACAAAGGAGGGTCCTCGTTCCCCCCCACCCACCCCCATGGCCTGTCTCCTTGCAGACCCAGCTTGGGCAGGTCCAGGCAATCCTGTTCCACCATCCTTTCATCCTCGGGCAAGCGGTCGTATCAGCCACGCACCGATTTGAGTCCTGAACACAGCCGAAGCTTTTTACGGGATCTACCTCCGCGATCGCACCCTTTGGGGCTTGCCCCACATGCTGCCGGGTTCGGGATCCCCCCTTTTTGCCCCCGAGACGACGTGTAAAACAGGGAAGCATCAAAAGTGATAGTTCTGCACACCTCCTCCTCCTCCTCCTCGGCGGTAGTGACGGTGGGTGGTACGAGGGGCAGCCAAGCAGCTGCTGGCTGCCTATTTTTCTTATCCCCCCCCCCACAATAACCCACCTTCGATCACAATTTCTTGCACGGGGTGTCAGAAGCAAATAAAGGCACTGATTGAAAGAGTAACAGTTGCACTTTTCTCAGTCTCTTTGGGTACAGGCGCTCCCCTGCCAAGAACACCTTTGCTTCTCCTCTAGATGAGAGCTGGACTGTGTGTGCTTCTCCACTTGGCCTGGGCCACAGTTCCCATCATCTCTCATCTGGGCTAGGGCTGATGGGAGTTGCATGCCAAAGCATTTGAGGCTCCAGTCTTCCCACCCCTGCTGTCGAGAAGCCATCCGCGGCCCAGCACCTTCCAAATGCGTCAGTCTTTAACCCTCCAACCCTCCGTATCTCCAGTTAATAGAAATTACCCTATAAACCCTTAGAGAAACTGAGAGGAGTGAATAAGGCAGCTTTCTGGGTTCCTTCCCCCCCAGCCCTTCAGACTCCTTTCCCCCACTGTCCAGTTCAAAGCAGAAAATAAACCAGTAAGACACAAAAGAAGGGTACCTCTGAGCATCTGCAGAGTGCTTTCCTGCAGCACTGGTGTGCTGAACCTCTTTCAGCCCTTGAGGTGGATTCGAATTTAGAGAAACTCTTGAGGGCCACGTTTCAGGGGCAGCTGGTCCCAGAGATGACAGGGGGGGGGGCAGAATTCCAGCGCATTTTGCAGCGATGCTGCCCTGTCACGGCCAGTAGCTAAACCAACCATGTAGAATGAGGAAGAAACTGCAAATCCCAAGAAACCAGGTTGGGGGCGGCATGGCTGAAAAATTGGGGTGCCTCAGCCCTTGATCGTCCTCATGGAAGAAGCGCCTTTCATGAGAATATGGAGAAGCAGAACGGATTCCTTTTCGGCAAGGATGTCAAGCAAGGGCTAGGGAACTAGAGAAGATAATTCACAGAGAGCAGGGCTACCATCAGCCACACCGTTGAGAGCTGGACTGTGTGTGCTCCTCCACTTGGCCTGAAGCACGGTGCTGGAGGAGAGCTTTGCCCATTCCCTGGAGCAATAGCGAGATGAACGGGGGGTCCTAGATCAACTCAAGGCGGAACTTTTCCTGGAAGCAAAAATGACAAAGCTGAAGTTGCCCTGTTTTGACTCTCTGGAGAAGACAACCTTGCTAGTCAAAGGCTGAAGACGACTGAAAGACCAGCTGTGAGAGGGATCAACTCCATTAAGGCAAGAGCGGATCAGGGCTGTGATGCGCAGGACATCTTGGGGGACACCCCTTCCTAGGGCCCACGCAAGTCAGGGATGACTCGATGGTGCCTCACAACGGACACGTGCAAACAAAGGGTTGCTTTAAGTCCCTCAAGTCGTGATCCTACGAATATTTGCTCAGGAAAAAGTCCTGCTACTTCCAGCATTTCCCAGGTGGATTGAGCTACAGCTCCCATCTCCCAAACTGGCTACGAAATGCCGAGGCTTGTAAAACTTTCTTCTGAATATTTTTCTCTTCTAACGACTGCACCCAAAATCAATACAGCGCATACCCATAATTAATTTTCGCACCTCTAATCCCCGAGAAGACCTTTCTTTTTTAACTCGCGTAAGCCATTTAAAGTCATGTAACCCCACGCACGTTCAGGCAGGAAAGAAATCCTACAGTTCCCAGCATGCAACAGAGGCGTGAGGCCACACCTCCCACTCCAAGTTGGGGAAGCGTGCCCTAAATCGAGTCCTCCCCCCAAAAGAGGTGTTTAATATGTAAATGAGCCTCTTTCCTCGCTCCCGAGCTCACCTGAGCGCCGGTTCCCAGCCCCAGGGGGCGGGGTTTCAGAAAAGCCCCGCCCCCTCTCGGGAGGTACCATTTCCCCTCCTGTGATTCAGCTTTTATTTTTGAAGGGGGCGGTTGTTTCCCTCTCCCGACCGCTTCGCGCTGCTGCAGCCCGCCCTGGCTCTCGCCCTCCCACGGTCCTCCCCTCTCTCGTCGCGGCGAATAGTAGCGGCCAGCTCTGCGGGAAGCAGCGCCTCGGAGCCGCTCCCATTGGTGCAAAAACCGGGCGGGGCGCGGAGGAGGCGGAAGAGGCCTGGATGGAACGGTCGGTCCCGGACGAGACCATTCGCGCGGGCAGGGGTGAGTGGCGAAGTTCTCGCCATGGCCCGAACTCCGAAACTCGTGTTGCTGTTTAGTGGCAAGAGAAAGTCGGGCAAGGACTTCGTGGCGGAGGAAATCCAGAGCCGGTAAGGCGGGGGCGCTGCCCAAGGAGGAAGGGGTGGGCCATTTGCTTGGTGCATGACGGGCAGAGTGGGTGGGCTCCAGCGCGCTAGACCACCCACCCAGACACGTGCGGGCGGGCGGGACGGGGCCCTTTCCGACGACAAGTTGCACTGGCCTCTTGAGTGCGTTAGCTTTGCAGGATTTCCAGCGCCGCCGCCCGCATTTCTTTTCTCCAAAAAGGAATTCTGCTCCCGTGTCTTAAGTGAACGTCTGAAGCGGGCGCTCACGGCCGATCGCCGTGACCTTAAAACACCGGTGTTTGGTGCAGGGAGCGCAGTAGCGGCCACGAGGCTGGCGTGCGCTTCCCTTCGCATCTGCCGCCTTGGTGGCCTTGTGCGCCCGCTTCACGTGTCGTGCAGGTCGCGCTTAGATCCGAGGCAAACCAGCCCCGCCTCGGATCCGTGCACCTGACCCCTGGAATGCGTGTGGGGGGGAGGAGGAGGAGGAGGAGGGGGGTGCCGGCCAGTTAGGAATGGCGTGACCAGCAGGACCAGGGAACCCCAAAAGCTGTAGGCATAGCACAGGACGAGCGCTGCCGAGATGCACGTCCCGTCAAGCGCTGCGTGCATTTCGAAACCTGCCCAGAGAGAAGTGTGTGTGAAATTTTAAAATGAGAATTTTTTGCTGTACGTATAAGGATCTGGGACCTTGTCTAAGCCAGTGCTGAATCCCAGAGCAGGCTCTCTGAGCACTAGGCCTGCCAAGATGATAAGAGTACCTCTGAGTACATGCAGAGTAGCGTTTGCTTTGAAAGATACAGTGGCAGTCATTTCTTTACCACTGTTGAATGTTCACCGAAGGCACATTTTATTCATAGGATGTGGTAATAGCAGGTAAATAAAACAATATTACATTTCTTAAAGCACTCCGAGAAAATAACAATGACAAAAGCAAGGAATAATTGTGATAAAAACCAGTGTAGCATAGAGATTCTGGACTGAGACTCGAGAAATAAGGGTTTTAGTCTCCACTTAGCTATGAAATGCAGCAGGTGACCTTGATTCTCGGCCTAACCTACCTCACAGGGTTGTTGTGAGGATAAACTGGAAAGGAGGCATAAATAAGTCACTTTGGGTTCCTTGCTGGAAAAAGGCAGGATCTGAATAAACATTTTCAGTAAAGAGCCAGTACGGTGTAGTTGGTGGTTAAGTTCATGGAACTTCAGCTCAGGCGATCCGGGTTCGAGTCCCCGCTCAGCCATGGAGCCAACTGGGTGACTTCGGGCTGGTCACAGACTCTCAGCCCAACCTTCCTCACAAGGTTGTTGTTTTGGGGATACCCTTGAGAGCATGATATAAGCTGCTCTGGGATCTGTAAAAAGAAATAAGGCAGGATATCAATCTGGTAAGTGAATAGGGTGAGTCCAGGACTTTCTAGCCTAGCATTCAGTATCTGAGCCAAAAGAGTCAGTGGTCTTCCCTTGCTGTTCATTCGCAGCTCTGGGATTTTGGGGTAAACTCCCCCTAAATACAGAGGCTCCATTTAGCTACTGAAAGCAGACCTTTCCCCCATCGACCCAGAGTCTGAGAAGCAGTTGTAGGTGGCGGGTTGAACCTGTGGGGTTAACCCAGTGCCTGACTCTCTTTCCTTGTTTCCTTTTCCCGGCAGTTTGGGACCTGATATTTGCACTATCCTTCGCCTCTCGGGACCCCTGAAACAGCAGTATGCAAAGGTACGTCGTGTGTATTTGGCCTGCTCCAGACCCTTTACCCAGCCTATATGTTTGGCATCCTTTCTCTAATGGACGGTGGCCCCGTGCAGCCAAAAAGCCTACAAATGCGAAAGCCACAATCTCCCTCGCGGATCCAGTCTGCAGAAAGATAGACAGTTTTGGACTATGGAGGTTTCGTTCCTGTATTTTAGCTAGCAGCTGATACATCTATTAGGATTGGCATTGCCATTTCTTAAATTGCTTTTCCCACAGCCTGCTGCCCTTCCCCAGGCAGTGTAGCCCTTGGTGGCTGAGGATTATGGGAGGTGTAGTGTGACGCTTCTGAGTGGGATGGTGTAACGTGGTGTCCTGCAACGGCACGGGTTTAGACCTGATGGCCTTCATGGCCCCTTCCTCTACTATTTTATGATCCCGTTTCTCCTCTCCCCGACTCAGCTCTGGATCTGACCTGTATTTTTTAGTCTGGATCCCTCTCTTGCTTCACGTGACGTGAATCCCTAAATGAGCGAGAAGTCTGTCCTTCCGTTGGGACACTTTCTTGGGATAAAGGCTCTTTTTTCCTGTCTGTGGGTAGGAACATGGCTTGGATTTCCAGCGCCTCCTGGATGCCAGCGACTACAAGGAGATGTATCGGCAGGACATGATCCGCTGGGGAGAGGAAAGGCGCCAGAACGACCCCGGTTTCTTCTGCCGTATTGTGGTCGAGGGCGCCGTGCAACCCATCTGGGTAAGGCTGGGACCATGGTGCTTGGTTCAGGGACCACAGGCAGGGAGTGCGGGCCCCACAGCCACGTGTGCCCACGGGAGGCATCCCAACAACCCAGTTTTTTTTATTTTATTATGTTTATTAAAACATTTTTATGCCGCCCCATTTGCCGAAGCCTCGGGGTGGCTTACAACAATAAATTAAATAATTATAATTAAAAATGTAAACTTTAGAATAAAAATACAAACATACAATATAAAATAAGCCGCCCTGGCCAGATAAAAATTCAATAATATTAACATTTAAAATGCTGCTTAAATAAAAAGGTCTTCGCCTGGCGCCGAAAAGCAAATAACGATGGCGCCAGGCGGACCTCTCTGGGGAGCGCATTCCATAACTTAGGCACCACTGCAGAGAAAGCCCTCCTCCGAGTGCCCACCCTCCTAATTTCTTTCACAGAGGGTTCCCGGAGAAGGGCCTCTCCTGCCGATCTCAGGGGGCGGCTGGGCATATATGGATGCAAGCGCTCCTTCAGGTAA